CACGTAGTCCACGTGCAGTAAGTGGAATGAGGTTGTCTTGGTGATTTATTACTGCAACAAAGAAATAGATGCTTTAACAGACTTGCATCGATGGACAGAAGATCAGTGCACTTTTATGGGTGTGGACTTCTAATTTTTATTCCTAAGTCTTCCTGTAATGCTGATAGGAGGAGATTCCATGTGTGGAAGGGAAAGTTGATTTGCTTTGGCCTATTTGAGAAACCTGTATAGACCAGCATAGTCTGAAAAGAAACCCTCGAGCTCATACTGATGTGTAGTACTCCTATAACTGAGGGTAAAACCAAAAAGAATGGTGACAGAAAAACCCTTAGTAGGTAATGAAGTTATGAAGGATGTTACCCCATCAAAAGCACTTACGTTGGTATCACTTTGATATCTATTTTAAGCTGTCTCCTCAATTCCTGAGGAGGAATGAATAAGACACTCTTGCCAAAAAAATGCTGGTTACTCATTTAGTGGTACTGAGTTGCAGAATGTAATGATAAGTAGAGTTTCAGAGTTCTGCGCAGCATGAAAAATACACAGATCTCTCTTAGTTATCTCAACCCAAGTTGGAGAATTTTTCTTTGTTTAATGGGCTTTTTTTTTTGTCTTTGAGATTATTATCTGGTAGGTGTGGTGTGGCAGGTGGCCACATGGTGTGAACCAGTTGTAGGCTGTATTTTGCCTGCAGTGCCCCTAAGCTATTGAATCATCTTTCTTGCTCCTTTGGGTTTTTTTGGTTTATTTTGAGTGGGGTGGTTCTGTGCTCACTGAGCTGATGGCTTCCTGTAAACTTCAAGCACCCATCTCAAACATCTGGCAACCACAGGGAATTTCTTTCTGCAGGTGAGAATTCTGTGTATGATGAAAAATGGAGGCATAATAAAATCTGCATAAAGTTTTTCTTGCGCTTCCTCAAAGGCTGTCATCTCTGTGTTTGTTAGCTGTTTCTTTACAATCACTGTCATACCAGGTATGCACCTTCCTGTGTGGTGGCACAATTTCCATGCCTCTGCATATACAGGGTGCATTTTACCTCTGGCTGGCAGGTCATCCTTCGGTTTATTAATGGCAGATCTGTTCATGGGTGTCATAAAGAAGTTACTTTTAAAATTGGCATCTGAAGTTCAGGTCATGCTAATGAACCTGGCTGAGATTCTGTTAACATTGGCCAGTTGAGGGAGAACATCTTTTGTTTAGCTCTGTGTTGTTATTTTAACCATTCCCCATTTCCCAATTCTCAAAGATATTTTATCAGATTTTCACCAGCTTTGCCTTTGTATTACATCTGCTGAATTTTTGCAGTATTCTGTTTTTCCTGGATGAGGTTGAGTAAATAAATACGGATACAGAAAATACGTTCTTGCTTGTCCCCTTGCCAAACAAACAACCCCCCAGATCCAAACAAATTCATAGTAGCAGTTTTCTGTGTACTATAATTGTGAAATAGCATTGCTTATAGTATGTAAAGGAAGGGGAACTGTGAATGCATTTTCCCCGTGCAAGCAGTTGTACTGTAGTTTTTGTATGTGTTGTTAGTAATTATGGCATCACTGTTTTTTTTCGTGTGTGTGGTCTGTAAGCTGTCTAGGAATTTTACCTGCTTTGACTGTTTCTTTTTTAGTCTTTGCTTTATTTGTGTGTGACTCCCTTTAGGTTTAGACAGCGCAGTAAATTTGCAAAAAAGAAATGGACTTCAAGCTGCTTTAATCACCAGTATGTAAGCTGAAAAAACTGTGTATGGGAATGGATTGAATTGGCCTGAGGCACACAAAAGTGGTAAAACTTTCTTTAATGAGTGTTTCTGTATCAATAAATTCAGTAAAGACTTTTTAGCCTTCTTAACGTGGCTTTGCATCATGTTGTGATTAGAATACTTTGTAGTTAAGTACTTATTTCCATAATGGAAAGTTAAGACACTAAACACTGGTTAAGAGCACTTAATCATATGGTGCATGTGTGTAGTTTTTTTAGATGACTTCCTCAGAATATAATCAAAAGAAACCTGCCCATCTGATGATTTCCAAACCTTTATGTAATGGAGTTGTGCAAGATCTATTTTGGAATTAGCATACACAGCACTGGTCTGGATTTTAATAGGAAACTTAATGAGTGAGTTCACTTACCTGGCTGATAGGTTTATAGAGAGCAGAGGTATCAAGAGCTCACTTAGGCTGTTTCTCTGCTTCCAGACACGATCTCTAAACCAAATGTGACAAGACCTTGTTTAATGTGCTCTCAATTACCACCATTTTTGCAACTGCTCTCTCACCTCCTGTGCTGTGATTTAGTTCTTAATTATTGCCAATTTTAGGAGCTTGTTTCAAGGCTTCCTTTTCACTAGCGTTGAGAATAATGCTTTGGCTTCAGCTGTAATAGGGAACTGTTCATAATAGCAAATCCAGCTGTTACTAATAGAGTGTATCTATTGACCTTTATTCCATGTGATAGTTATTTGTAGATTGTTTCTTCCTGTTGTCTGCGTGTACGATAATGTCTTTTTACAAGCTATAAAATGGGAATGGTACAGCATTAATGCTTTCCTTCATGTGATGCTTGCTAGGAAGAAAAATCCCTTCCTGCTTTGGAAAGCTGCGGGTGTGTTGTATCAGTGGTATCAAGTAGATGAAATTTGTCAAGACAGGTAATGTTTATGTTTCAGGTCATGTTTATCTTCGCTTCATAGTAAAATATACATCTCAGCTCCTTAGGAAGTGATGAAATCTTCAGAAGGTGTTACTCTGAAATTCTTCTGCTGGGACAGAAGTGGTAGATGAAGACAACACAAGGGTGTTCAAAAACAAGAAAACCCCAAACTTCTGCTATATTAGTGTGGAGTTCTTTCTAGCGCCGGCTAGAAATACTTGAGCAAGGGGCACAAACAAGAACGTTCATTCCAGTCACTTAGGAGTTAATTTTTGGTTCCTGTTCAGAGCTGCACACTCCTCTTTAAACAATTTGTCATGTTAATACAAAATAAAATGAACTAATGGATGTGTAATGGAACTGTTGGTGTGGAGGTAGACAAAGCAGGAAAGGTATCCCTCAACTTCAAGCACAGATCAGCTTCTAAGTAGATTCAGGGTTGCAGAACTTGCATTTTTGCACTCCAGTTATTCCCATTCCCATTGTGCTCGTGTGGCTGTTGTTAAATCTGCTGACTTTACTAATTATCCGAATCTCACAGAATACATAAGCACACATCAGTCCATTCCAGAAGCTGCCACCAACTGCATGACAACCTGAGAAAAGATTGCAGACTGTGTGTAGAAGCGTGACTGATGAGTAGTGCAGCTCTCTGGTTAGCAATGGAAATAAACCTGGAAGGGAATTATTATTTTTTTTTTTTGCAGGTGGTTGGTTTATGCTGTGGCACATAACTGAAGGCACAATCCCTGAGCTGTGCAGATGTGCCATGGAAGGTAGGAGCAGGTTGAGTGGCCGCTAGAGGACAGTGTGCACAAAACCATGAGTTGGGTGCACAGAGGAGCTGGGGAGGTGTTGAGCAAACTTGCCTGCTTTCCCAAGTGATGCCAATGCAAACAAACAACGGATTGATTGAGCGTTAGGTGCAGAAAATTTGCTGCATTATGCCTTTTTCCTGGCTAGGAAAAAATATGGCTTTTACCAAGGTTGACATGCCTGATGCTTTGTAAGAGATTAGCTGCTGTATAATGGTAATTTGTCCAATATTTGTTGACACACAAGGCTAAATACCTGGAAGATTCCTGAGTGAAGGGAAGTATAATCTTAATACATTCTGGAAGGTATTGTATAAACCTTGATAAGGTCATTGAGAGGGGAGGCTGGCAAAAATAACCACATAAAACCACACACACAAAAAAAACCAACCACTTTTGCTCCCAGTGCTCAAGTGACAAAGTATCTGAGGGGGGGAGCAAAGTGGGGAGGTTGCAGTGCCATCCGGGGTAAGTACTATTTCCCCATGTTAACTGTGTTGCAATGTACACTGCAAAGCAGATCTGCAAGTTTATGGGAAACTCTGGGTTGAATGCACAGGTAATGTGGAATGATGTGATGCTTCACACCGAGCCTTAATGCTTCACACTTGTGTCTGTTTGAAATACACACATAAGAACATACACAGTGATAACTGTAAACTTAAAGCTATTTTCATTCTAAGCATCTTTATAGTGATAAATTAAACTGGGCACACATCTTCCTTTTTTGCATTTTTTTTTAAGCCTCCAAAGAGCTGAACAAATTGTGGTCTGTGTTTTCTGCAGGAGTTACTGCAGTTCAAATATGGTTGCTTTGATTGTTTCTTTTCCTCTTTACCCCTCAGTTGCCCCTTTGTTTTTCCAAAGCCCAAGCATTTCCCTCAGTTGCATCTTTGTGTTATGAAACTGCATTAACTAAAAGGCCTTTGGATTAATATCTGATCAATTTCCTATAACGTGACAAAACGCATCCAGTTGGGGGTTTTTTGGTCTTTATTCCCAGGTTATTTATCTTTGTTAGTCTCCCTTTTAAAATCTCTTATCAGTAGCGTCCCAAGTTCCCAGAAGTGAAGGGAAATGCATTTCCCCAGATGTTACACATACATGCAATAACTGTCCCCAGAATTGTACTGTGTGCTGCGTTTGACACAGGCTGACAGATGAGATGCCATCCTTAGTTTGCATTCTGCGCTAAAGCAGAAATTTTGACTTAAAAGCTTGACTCCAGGCTGTCAGTGATTATTTTGGTCGTTGTCCATAAAGATACATTGTGGAGTTAAGGATGCCTAAGGAGTTAACCTGCTGTTTAAAATAAGTAACGAGGCAAGAATAAATAAAAAAAAGTCAGACTTAATATTTCAACACTGCAATTAAAGAGGGGTGGGATCAGCCTGATCTGCAGAGATGTACATAATGGCAGAGAGGGTGGGCGGTTGGACTGTCAAACTGCCTTAATTTAATTGCAAACACATGCTGATGAGTCCCCTCCTCCTGGACCTCAGGGCTGGGAAACTGCTTTTTTTTTTTTTTTTTTTTTTTTTTTTTGTCAGCTCCCTGCAGCTCAGAATTGAGGAAAATCCACTCCAGCAAACACCATGCTGATCAAACCTTCAGCTCTTCTGGGCTTTTGGTGCTTTCTCCTCCTGCCTCGTTCCTCCTGTTCCTGTCCTCCTCGCTGCCTGTGCTTCAGGACTACAGTAAGATGCATGCATCTGATGTTGGAAACCATCCCTGACATCCCACCTCAGACCAGCATACTGTGAGTAACTGTTTCATTTCACTGCCTTTCTTATCTGCTCGGTGTTTGGGAAATAAAATGAAAAATGCCTTTTGTCCTTTATTTATTCATCCTTGCTGCAGAGTTGTCTGCACTTGAATCTGTTTCGTGCTTTTAGAACGTAAGCTGCTTCTTTTGTCATAATTAATTGTTAATGGGGCAGTCAGTTGGGGAAATGCGTACTAATAATGCCATGCTATCACTGGAAGGCAGTTTTGGGAAATCTGAGGTCACAAATGTTAAAACTGAATTATAGAAAGGTACACAGCTTACATTTCAGAGGGATATGGGTGTAGGGGAGAGAGGAAATACTGCAGGTTAGGCTTTTGTCTCCACAAAAAAAAAAAAACCCTTAATTTTTCATAAATAAAACCCCTTTTTTCTCTAGACTTTTAAGTTTTGGCTTTCCAGTTTGTATCTCAGCTGTGCAAACCAGATGCAAAGTTTATCAATAAAGCAACAACTGGGGCATCTCACGTTCTTGAGAAACAACATAGACCTGTTGAGTTGGTTCTGCCTTTTGTGGAGGGGGCTGCTGGTTATGGCCATTCAGATGGTGGAAAAAGGCACAAAACCCTTGGAGACTCCGAATTTCTTACTGCCAGGTCCAGGAGAGCACTTTCCTGTCTATGTATAGTAGTAAATCCTATGCTTAAAGGTGTATAAGGTGCAGTGCCACGTGACAAAAGTTGAAAGACTTTCTTTTTTTAAATAGCAGGAAAGACTTGTCAAACATTAAGATTAATGCTTGTTCTCTTACATCACTGCTGTTTATGAAACTTATCCAACCCTGGTGGGTTAAGAAGCCTGTCTCTGTGCTCCTAACCAAAGCTGGTCTCAGGTAGAACATCCATAGCAGCGTGTCTCCTATAAACATTGCACTAATACTCTTAATGCAGTTTACCTGCTTGCAACTTGATGGGGCATGATAGTTGTTGCATCCAGGTCTGCTTGGGTGGATGGGGAACACAGAGGTTCTAGCAGTAGTGGCACACAGAAAATGCCTGCACTTGCTGCAGCTGCCAAAACTGCCACCTTGGACTCACCATGACATGGGGCAGAACAGAATTCCCTCGAGGCATTCAAGGCCAGGCTGGATGTGGCTCTGGACAGCCTGGTCTGGTGGTTGGCAGCCCTGCACATAGCAGGGGGGTTGGAACAAGATGATCATTATGGTTCTTTTCAACCCAAGCTATTCTATGATATATATTGATATATATATATATATATATATATATCATAGAATCTGGACTCGCTTTCTCTCCAGGCTGGTGATGCTGTGGTTACTGCACAGTGTGATAGTATCTGCTTGATGGTTTGTTGCATGCTTTTTGGGTAGTGGCTGTCTGCTCTGCAGTAACTTACAGTCTTTGGCTGTCCAAATTGTTGCCAAACTTTTTCCCCTTACAGATTTTTCTGCATCTTTAAGTATTTAATGCGTGCATACACTGTTTGTTTCTAGCAAAGCAGTTTGCTGTTGCTTGTTTAAACATATGCCTTACTGGGGAAAAAATTGGGTGGTGGGTTTTATTTTTTTGGCAACTTATTTCCAAGCTTGATAAAGCTTTATTTTCATTCTTAATTCCAAACAAGACAGCATTTGTTGTTGCAGTGAATAGCCTGGCTGTGCTTCCTATGAAGATTCCTCGACTGTAGAGGGAGAGAAATGTACTGTGCTCACCAACTTTTTTTCAGTACAGGAATGGTGTATTTCTGAATGATCTCAGACAACAACAAACTTCATTCTTTTATGCTGAGGGAGTAAGATGTGACTGCTTATCCATGCAGCTTTAGTAAAAGCACTGGGTAGTATCTGTTTGCAATTTAGCTGACATTGAGGTTTTTTTTGTAAAAACTCAGCCTGGACAGGTGGACAGATTTTTTTCAGTGCAATGTATGCAGTCACCATACTTCTCTCTCATCTGCTAACTAGTTAGCATGTGCACTGCTTACAAATGGTCTGTGATTTGCATACTTAACCATTTGGAAAGCTGGTTCATTTTGCTTAACATGCTAACTATAGCATTGGATGGGGAACTGTGGTTTTAAGCATTAACAAAGTGGTGTAGGTGTGTGATATGGAAGTACTGTTGTTACAATATGAGACTACTGTCGATATGGGCTGGTATTTCTGAGTGAGGTTTACCTGGCGTATGCAGACAATCAGAAGAGAATAATTATAAGTAAAACCCATACTGACAATTAGTGATCCCCATAGAGAGTGATACAAGCTGTTAGCGGATTGTGTGCCTTTGTATGATGTGCAGCCAGCAAAGATGCTGACTTTTTGGCTGTCTTAAGGATTTAATGTATGTAAACGCATTTGCCAGCAAGCATCCCATTGTATCTGTTATAAATAGCATTTGAATAACTACCCTTTTTTAATTGTGAAGGATTAAAGAATGCTTCTTAGCCAAGCCCCCGACTGCTCCAGCTTTTTGGTATGTTAATTTTTCTGCTGGGAGGAGAACTGTTCGTTCTCAGTTCGAAGACTCGGAGTGTAGAGCAAGAATGGTCTGATCGTGGAGCTATTCCGAGTCAAAAATGTGGGATCGTGATATTTTCCACATTTGCCCATTGGTATGAATAGGACCAAGGCTGTAACTATGGATTCAAACCCCGATCAGAGGCTCCAGCTCTGTTCCCTCGCAAAGCAGCTGCAGCTTCCAGACGAGCATTGCTTTGTAGTTGGAGACTTTCTGACTTCCGTGACTCCGTGCCACCCTCTCTGCAGTGCTCCTAGTGGAGCAGGGAAGTCTCCTCGCCAGCACACGCTGTGCCTCGACGAGCCCTGCTGGCGGGTGGCCCCCAGGGGTTCTCGCCAGCTGGCGGCCCTTGGAGCAGCCCGTGGTCCTCCCGGAGCGATGCTGGGGTTGGCGTGGGCCCAGCTCTGGGATTGATGAGCTGTTCCTGGCTCCTCTTTGGTCGTCGCCATTTTGCTCCTCCCTTCGGAGTCCCAGCTGGGTGCAGCCGAGGACCTGGCCCAGTGTCTGGTTTTAGCAACAGGCTGTTTGTCTTTGGTAACGGTGCCTGTTGGTTCTATCCTGAGCAAAGAATAGGACGGCAAGAATGGCTACACGTGTACAGATAAGCTGTAAAAATTCACGATGTTTTAACTGTGAGCGTATTTTGGCTGCTGTTCGTTCAACTGGAACACGATTCTCCAGATGTGATCTGCTGGTTACTGCTGGGATTCACGCCGTTTGTTTAGCCAGCAGCCCAAAGAGGGGAACAGCTGTGAAACACACACTCCGAAAAATTTCAATAGGTCTTTAACCTTCAAAGCCGTTTGTTCTCCAGAGTGACATTTAAAACAATAAACTTTGAAATGCGTGGGCATGAGTAGAAGAGATCTATGGAAAGAAGTTCCCCTCTGGCTGGCAGCTAATGGATTGCAATCCAATTATCCGTGGGTTATTCTCCTTTTTGCATTATGCATAGCACATAATGAATGAACGCTTCCAGAGAAACATAGCTGAGGGCACCAGCAAAGACGACGTTGTATTTGGCATCTGAATGCATTGCTGGCATGAGCCGGAGGTGACCCAGTTGCTCGCAGACCTGGTTGCTAATTGGGCACTGTGAGCATGGCCAGCTTGATGAGTTTAGTTTCCTGTCGTTGCTCTGTGTGTTGTGTGGTTGGTGGCTGCTTGTTTCTCCTCCTCTTGCACAGAGAACAACGCACGTTTGTGTGGGGAAGGTTCACTGAGAAAACGAGTTCTTGGAAATGCTGCTCTCTTTGTGATGTCCGTCGTGAGCCTTCAGCCTTTGGGATGAAGAAGGGGATTATTCATTTCCTCTGTGTGTGATGGTCTTATGTGCAGTCATTAAATGCACACCCACACGTTCTGCTTGTTCCAGGTGTGATCTCTTGCTGACTACTTCTGTAGTATTTAATTCCCATTAAACCTTTCTGAGGTGACCTAAGCCTTCTGTATGTCCTATTTATAGCAGTCACTTCATCAGAAGGAAAGCAGGGAGGGAAGGTCTTCAAAGATTTTTTTCCTTCCTAGAAGCACTGCAGCATTTTTTGCTGAAACCAGCCTAGCTCTCAGGGTTGTAGTTACCTCGGGTGTTTAGAACTCACTGAGCAGTCATGCCCATCATCTGGCTCTCACCTGAGTATTTCTGCTTTCCCCACTTCCCTTGGCTTCACCACATCCTTCTTCTCATCCCCAGGAGTTTTTGCTGTGCACTCAAATGCAGCTTCCTCAGGGGGGGCTGCAGTATTGGATGGGAGCAGTCCGTATTTTTTAGTGAAGGAGTGTCTCTGTATTCTGCATAGAGACTTTGATGTTTGTGCTCTTCAGGAGCTGAAAAGCTGACACTGATGCTACGAGAGACTTTGGATTGAGGAATGCTATAGCATTTCGTTTAAGCTGATATGGTACTACTGCATTCTGAAGAAGGTATGTGTATTTCCACACTCTGGAATTTTCTTTTACTGCTTCTGGCTCAGGGTGAGAATGCAGTTCAGGAAGAGAGCAAGCTGCCTTTATTTGATGTGGGCAATATTTCGAATAGACGGTGCAAAGGAAACATGCATCGTGTTAAGGGAGTCCTGCTCTTTGCTGACATGAATATCCAAGAATAGATTCAGCTTGTTTGATTGGGATCAGACCTTAATCTCCAAACCAGCTGTTAATACGTAGTAGTTAGAATTATCTGAGGTTGGTGAGGTCAGCTGTTTGCTGTGCAATCTTCCAACCTGGATGCATGCACTTGAGTTGGAAGCGTTTGTTGCACCTCCTGTACTGGTGAGAGCTGGAGGGATGCTGAGTGGTAGGAGGGGATGTATCAGCAGACAACCCTTCACTGCCTTCAGAAACCACCCAAAACCACTGCCTGGAACCAGTTGTGTGTGTGCTCAGCATGTGCTCAGAACAGTGTGGTAGGCTGAGTGGTGAATTACTGACTGGTTCTTGACCCAGCTGACAAAGAGGGAGTCCTTAAATACTGTGGGTGTTGAAGTTTCAAAATCTGATTTCAGTAACGCCTGTGGTAAGTTCTTAATTAAAATCTGGTGTGCCCACTGCTCTGACTTGAGTGCAGAAGCACTGTACGGTCTGTTCTGCAGCATGGGGCTCTCTGCATTTAAGTGCTCTTTTGTTTCATCTGTGATCCCAGTCTCTTCTCTATCACTGTTTCCACGCTGCACATATTTTCACTTCTTGCACAGTCAATATCTCCGTGTCTTAAACTGGTACAAACCAAAATAGCAGAAACTTGGAGTCCCCCCATGTTCTCCTTCTCTCCCTTGCTGCTCAGTTCTCCTTGTAGGGATTTAGAGATGAAGGCTGTCATTTATTAAAGCCGTTTGGGGGTTCTTGTATGAGAAGGACATTCCGAGTTGGGTAGCTGATGACAGCGAGTCTGGAAGGCTTCATTCCCATCACAGCAAGGCTGTTCTCCCTTCCTGCCAGGGCTGTTTGGCAGGATGGGGGAACCTGCAGAGCTGACTGCTATGCTCTGTGGTTAATACATAAGCAAGCATTCTTCTGACAAGTGTTCTGGCTCTTCTCATACGGGGGGATACTTGACTTAAATCATGTTTAGGATGTCTTTCACACTCTCTGTTCTCCAGGAAAAGCTGGATGGAATTTCAGTGTCTTAACCCTGTTTGTAAGGCAACCTTTGCTCTGTGTCGTTGGTGATGGTTGAGTGGCTGCCACTTACCACAAGCACTTTGGGTTAAGCAGTGATTGCTGTGCACGGTGTTATGAACGCAGAAGACACTTCAATGAAGCAAACACAAATTTCCCCTGAACTACAGTAAAATACCTCTTGTAGCTAATTATCTGGTTAGCTAAGATAGTAAGATGTGATTCACTAAAAGCCTAAATGGATTATGCAGAAATGGGAGATTGTTGTAAAAGCTGTTGATTGCTTTATAGGCTGTTAATTAGTTAACACAATGATAACAGCTGAGAGGATCAGAAGGATTTGAGTGTCATTCTGTGAATACCTGCATCTCCCAATCTGCTTGCAAATTCTCTCATTCTTGATATGCTTCAGGGATGGGGCTGAGCCAGAAAAGGTAAATAGCAAACCTGAGGTTATCCACATTGCCCTGCCTGGTGTCCTGGCAGTGCTGTGGTGCTTTGTCATGAGGATTTGGGGAGATGTTCTGTAGAGCCACTCTGAATTGATGAGTGCTGACCCCAGGCTACGAATGCGTGAAGGATGTGGGGTCCTCAACGCAGATCCAGACTCCCAGCCTTAAAAGTATGAAGGATTGTTAAATCAGAAGGGAATTCCACCTCCCCCCTTTATGTTTTGCACATTCCAAGCTGGAGGGATGCAAGTGGGAGTGAGGGAGCCCAGCTGCCCACGTACCCAGCAGCTGGGACGGGCTGGCACAGAACAGCTGTGCGGTGGGTCCCTGTGAAAGCACACTTGTTTGTTAAAAGAAATGTGAAGCTCCCTAAGCGAGCACCCTGGGAATAGGGAGAAACAAGAGTTTCTGTGTACGAAGGGCTGAACTCTGCAGGGAGTGCTCTCAATCACTGTGCAAGCCAGGAATTTCCTGGTGCAGCCCTACATGGTGTTCTTTCACCAGCTGAGCTTCAGGCAAAGGCAATGGCTGGAGGAAAACACTGCAGATGAGCCAAGGGTAATTTCTGGGAAAGGGCAGGAGTTTTTCTAAACCAGTTCTCTCGTTGCTTTGTTTGGAGCTGAAGAGTTACAGAAAGGGGAAAAGATAACAGAAGAGGAGTCTTCCACTGTCACATATTCTATCCCATTCAGTGATAAAAGGGGGGTAACAGGACAGAGATCTGATATTTCAGTTTAACTTGAGTTAGACAAAAATACTGTACATTTTCTGCCTAAAATGTAAGAAAGCTTAGTGGGATTTTTTTTAGCATAAAATAACCTATTTTGTAAAATGTGAAATTAAGAAACGTTACGTCTTAAGTTAAAATCAGCCTTACTTGCTGTGCATCTTCCTCTTGAATACTTTGGAGGCTCACTCAGTTGGTTTCCAGCTACCTGCAGTGCACGTATCTCTTTCAAATCTTAATTTTATAAAGGCTGGTTGAAGCCCATTGTAAAAATAATTGTTGAGCTTTTAGAAATGCATAGAGTTCTTGCTTTAAAACGTGACTTCAGATGCTCTGTAGCACCAACAGCACGATGGCATTTCAGAGCCACTTCAAATAAGTGTCCTTAAAAGGCTGTCTTAAACACAGGAATAGCTGTGTGTTCTCTAAATGTGATAATCCAGGCAGAAAAAAAAAAAAAATGGTTGTGCTTTGGGTAGAAACTAACAGCAAGAAGTGTTTGTCAGTCTTTTGTAATTTGTTATAATGTGCTGGACCATGCGAGGCACCCAATCAATGCACGTTCCCTATAGAAATGTTTCTATTTGCTTAAGTGGGTTAACCCACTTAGCTCTTATTTTATTATCTCATTAGCAATCAAAAAAAAGACATGTTTTAGGGTTCCAAATCAATGCGGTTACATGGACAGCCCTTGAAATTTGCCAGAATCCCCTGGACTCCACTAATTCTAATTGAAGTTGGCACAGATTTGAAATGCAGGCAGCGATAAGCTGTTCGAAGTCTTGGAGCACTGTACAGAAAAATGTGAAATGCTTATTATATGAGGTTATTTGATCACGTTTAACCATTTTAGGACAAAGATAATTTTGTTGGGGTCCTAAAAAGTGGTTCCACGTGATGATGCTCGTTCCTCTACAATTCAGCATGTATCGTTGTACGTGAACTTGGGGTGATAAGCAGCAGAACTTGGCTGCAATTCATGGAAACAAGCACTGGAGTCCTTTCAGCCTTTAGTTTTCAATGGGATGAAAATAAATGTTGTAGGTGTAGGGCTGTGCAGGCTGGTGGCTGACTTTGCAGGTGATGGTAGCCCACAGCCATCATCCACATTACTCTTCCTCCTCCCTGCTGTCATCTCCATTGCTCCCATTGCTGTGGGCCTGTTGCAGGCTCTCCCAGGAACCTTCTTCCCTTTGGTGTTGATTCCTATTTGCTCGTCTGTGTTACGAATGCACTGATTTGTGTTTTCTGCTTTCAGAGATTTACGTTTCAACCACATCAGGGAGATACAACCTGGGGCCTTCAGGAGGCTGAAGAACCTCAACACGCTGTAAGTCCCACTCGGTGATCCTGCCGTGAGGTTTTTTCTTTGTGACTTATGTTAGCACTAACTGCTGTAATGGCTTAAAGGTGGCCTGGGTTTTACTTAGTTATTTCAGCCAAATTGTACGTATCCAACTAACGTGTTGTGATCATCTCTGCTCTACCCTGGATTGTGTGATCACCCTTTTGAATCAAACGTGCGATTTAATAACTTACATTGTGGCAATTAACCTGTCTTTTAAAAGGAATGATTCCTGATACATCCTCAGGCAGTAGAGCATGCATAGCTTTAGAGTAGCCCATAAAAAGAGTTATGGCCTGGGGTCAAAATGACAGAGGGATGCATTAAGAGCTTCTTCGTTTTCACAGTGCTTCAAATGCATAAACGACATCAGCTGCTCTGCATGATGGTACTGAAGTGAAACTACATCCTTCCAAATGCCAGATTGTCACTGTGCTGTGCCTTAAAATAAACACTAGCACCTACCTTATTGCAGATGGGGATGAGAGGGAAGGCAGTTCCTTTGGTTCTGCATCTCAGCCAGAGCAGGCATGCTCACACCCCAGTGATTTACTAACTGCTTTACTAACAAGTTTCTCCCTCTGCTCAGAGGAAGTAACAGGAGCCTCTGCTGCTTCTTGCTGCCATAAGGGTTTGAAGATAGATATGAGTACATATCTGCATTGTGCAGCCAAGGAGCTGAATCCAAACCAGCTCCCAAATTAGAAACAGAACTGTGTTGAATGTAATTGGCCTGTCAATGCTCAGATCTGATTATTCGAGCTGTAACACTGTGCTAATAGCTATGAGGTTTCCAGGTTTGAGCTCGAGCCTCTCTGTGAAGTGAGCTAGGGAATCTGCATTGCATGGCAGACACGTTTGTGTTTCCTGGGTTCAAATGTCTGTGGTCGTAAACAGCAAGAAAAAAAATCTGTATTTGTTTTTTTCTGTCTGACTTTGGGAGATTTGAACCTGCTCCAATAGAGATGGCAGCGCTGAAAGAAGGAATACCTGGGCAGTAAGTTCAGTCAGCTGTACGAAGCTGTAGAAAGAGTAAGGATAAAGGAGTGCTCTGTCACAGAGACTTGTTTAATTGCTGTGTTTTAAAAATCAGTGCTTGCTAAAGTTTGTTTCACTGCACGCTGGGGATTGACTGGCCAAACCCTGCAGCGTGGCTGCAGGATGCCTGTGCCCCTGCTCACAGGGGAGGAGCTCAACTTGTAGACTGGTGGAAAATGTTATTTCCAGAACTCTGCTTGGCCAGAGTACATGAACAGCCCTCATTAGGATCTCAGACAGCACCATGTGGTACTTAATGACCAAAAATAATAGGAAAGATCCAGAAAATTAATATTGATGTATTTCTCTAATTGAAGATGACCATATTTCTTACCCCATCTGAGCCCAAAATATCGAATGGAAAAAATAGGGCCAGGGTCTGGAAGGCTTTACCTTATCACAAAGTTCTTCTGAGGCATGGTGATTTCCCATCCTGCTCCTCCACTTCTGAAGATCTCCTTAGTCAAGAAAACCAGCTCTTCCAAGTGGTGTCTTTTTGCTTTCTGCCTCCATGTGCTCCTGGGTAGGGACCTCAAGGACAAGACTTCCATGAGCAGATGCAAAAGGAAATAGGATTGAATGTACCTTCCCCTCAACCCCCCATGACTCTGATCTTGTGATGATGGATGCTTGGGCAATAGGAGGGATGTGTTTTGTGCAGGTGGTGGACAGGCTCTCATGCTTTCTCTGAATAGTCTTACAGCTGTTACTAGAGCTAGAATACTGGGCTAGCTGAAGAACACTGCTCTCACAAAGTATGGCATTTTAATATTTCAATTCTGAATATCAGCTGTTTTTATAAATGGAACCTTACCATTTAGATAGCAGCTCCTATGCTCCGTTTTGTTTCCTGCTTTGGTCAGCAAATGGGGAAAATCAGTTATTCTCACACTCAGAAGTTACTGAGTTCCCTATTTGTGAGAGTTAACAGAGACAGTCAGACCCTGTGCTCCTAATGCAAGGTTCTCTCGAGGAACTCTGGTCTGTCTAATTCAACATCAAAACTGACAAGAGCTGAAGAATTTGCTGTTGTTTCCTAGATGGTAACCTTTTGTCTCAGGATTTATATAGGTTTTCAAGTGATAAGTTTTTAAAGGTCCCTAAGAGATGTGCTGGGTAAGGTTGGCCAGAATACTTGAAGCACAAGACTTAGAGGACAGAGGAGCTCAGGTTCCATCTGTGGGAGCTCTCAGCTGTCTGCCATGGGATTCTCAGAACTAAATGTTCCTTAAGCAAAAATAAGGCTTTTGAAAGAGCCTTTTCCTGCAGCACTCTGTCCTGGCAGAGGAAGGGCAGTACAGTTGGGTGCATTTTCTGTTTTGTGTCTCCATCCGGGCAGGATGGCTGTGGAATATTCAAGTTTGACGGTTTGTAAACCGCCCTGATTAGGAAACCTTTGTGTCCTGCACTGGAGCAAGGAGATGAGCTGACAGAAGAGGATCCTGTCCTGAGTGCCCATGGGGCTTTTTAAACATCCTGGGTAAAATTCAGACCTTTCCCTCTCTTCCTTCCTTTCCCTGATGCAGGAGGCTTGATAAATTACAGAACACAGAAATTAAAAGCAGTTTGTTTGTGGAGGAACTGCAGTCATTACATGCTTCTGGCAGGGGCCTCGTGATGCAGCAGCATCACGACAAGCAGTTATCTGAAATCCTGCCCTGCTGAGAGCTCACTTGTCAGCTGTCTGCAGCGTTTTGGGCACCGGGGGAATTATTTGGGGCCCAAATTCTTGGAGTTGTAAGTTTTCTCATCCCTTCCTTCTGCTTTTTAGAATCACAGAATGGTTTGAGTTGGAAGGTACCTTTTAAAGGCCCTCTGGTCCAACTCCCCAGCAGTGAACGGGGACACCCACAGCTCCATCAGTGCTCAGACTATTTAGGAAGCATCATGTGAGAGCAAAAGGTGCTTTGGTGAGCTCTGCAACTCTCCTTCAGATGCTGTTTGTGCTCCTCAGTGCCACATCTCCACAGCTCTGGAACACCTCCAGGGATGGTGCCCCCACCACCCCCTGGGCAGCTGTGCCACTGCATCACTGCTTTTTCAAAGAAATTGTTCCTAATATCCAACCTGAGGCTCCCTCGAGAACACAAGTCCCTGTGAGCAGCCCCCATGTCAGAGCTGCCGAATCTTGGAATAAAAGTTTCATTCTCAAATATGGGAAATGGCTATTCCAGATCATTCCGTCAACAAGGGAGAATGTATGGCTCAATGTTAAGCTAGCTTTTTCTCCCCCTTTAAAAATACAGTACACGATGATTTCTGTTAATGGCGGGAGGAAAAAAGTAGCTGTTGTGTCACAATGACTGCAGCATGTGGTTCCTCAAATGAAAAGAGGAAAGGGTAGATGTTCTGAACCTGAATTCTGTACTGTCACATCATTTAACACATGCTTCAAAATAGAAAAATGACTCATTGAATGCAACTTAAGCCTGTGCTTGGCAACCTGGAGACAGGGTGGGGAAGGGAGAGGGAGGGACAGACAGAACATAGAACCTAAAGGAAACTCAATGTGAAATGTTCCCAGAGTGAATACAGGCCAGATCGCTTGGTGCTTGTGTATCTCAAGCTTCCCTGAAGAATTTTCAGGAATAAAACCTGCATGACTGAGTACATCTATTCATTCTGAGCCAAATTCACCAGCTGTCACGGAGGGGAGTGCCACATCATTTTGCTGTCTTGGTAAGCTCCAGGAAATGTACTTCTGATACCTTTAATTCAGCTTATTTTGCTGCAGGGTATGCTTGAGACGTGCATCAATAATGATCTTTCCAGCTTCTGTCTGCCAGAGCATTTATTCCCAGCAGATCTGGTTAGTAGCAGGACTTTGCTTTCAATTCTCCGTAACGTTACCAGGAGTTTGGGCGTTTTGCTATGATTGCAGCTGGGATCAATATCCAGCTCATGCAAATCATGGCCAGGATTTTGCACGCTTCTTTGCCTGAGTGAAGTGCACAGGAGTCCAGGAACAGACAGCTGTCTATGGGCCATCTGAAGCCTTTCTGGGTTCCAGATGTGCTGTCTTGTCCATGGATTTCCCTGGAAGTAGCTCTTTGGAATATATGCAGTGTGATAGACTTCATAAATTATGTCAGTTTTGAGTGTATTCCAGGACATATCCTTCTATTACAATAGGGAATCCTGAGACAGGAAGCAGAGATTGCTTCTTCCATGCGCTCGTTAACCTTTAATCAGGCAGTGAATAATTCTTTTAAGTATCAGACGATGAGATAAGAGGTCAGCATAGCGTGTGCAATTTGAACTTCCAGAGTTGCTCTCATTTGGCTCAGATCACTGTCCTATTCCCGAGACAACAAAATGGGTTTGATCAATGTTTTTCAACAGCACCAAAAGTCAATCAGCCAATGTGTTGCAATTAAAATCTATAAATTTCAATCCAGGTCTAAGCTCTCTGTGTTAAAAGGTCGGCCGAGGAGCTCAGGCCATGGTGGAACATGGGATAACCGAGGCCGTCAGTGTGTCTGTCCACAGGGTCTGGTGCTGGCAGTCCTCCTGTTCCCTGTGAAATGTGTGTTGATTGTATGGCAGGGGACAGGTGGGAATGACATTGGAGCTGGCACCTGCTTATCGGCCCATCCAGCATCCTCAGAAGTGTGGCCAAGGATCAGATAGCAGGGAACAAGCTGCCTTCTTTCTTGTCTGGCTGCAGATGAAAGCGTGCTGAGAGAGCAAAGAAAGGAGCGTGTGCAGTTGGTGCCTGTGTTGTCTTTGTCCTGTGGGTAAATAGACAAAAGCCCTCTCCTGTGCTGCTCTCGAGCAGTTATTTCCAATCCTTGGGTGTTCAATTAACAAATAAACCTCTGGGTTGGTTTTCAGGGGCTGTATTTCCACGCAGCATATTTGGCTGTCAAAGCATGATAGCGTGTTCCAAGAGCTTGACATCATTTTTGCATCCTTATGAGCAAAATTGGGTCATGTAGCCTCAACCATGTGTACAGAGCCATTGCTTCCAGCTGTGCAGAAACTTTCCAGCATGTCTCTGCCTTAACCTCTTCTGGTTGCTTATCCACAGTGCTGACTGTGCAGTTTAGCAGTGGCACCCAAGTTTAGGGTAGCTAAATAACTCATCGAGAGACCACTGTGAGGTTTTCTTTCGAAACCTTACTGCTTTGACTTCCAAAAGATGAGGGGGGCTTAAGCTCAAGTACCATATGTGCTTTTGGGACCTCTCATGCAACTCCCCACCTGAAAACAAGCTGGTGGAGGGTTGGTGTGGCTCAAGTGGCTGATGGCAATTTGTGAAGCTGCCATAACACATCTGTGCTTCTGAGATCTTGCATCCCTGGGGCATCTGATTGTATCTTCATCTTCTTTACCAATGTGCTTTTTTGCATTTCTCCTCACTCCTTCATCTCTTCTCTCCTCCTTTTACCTGTACAAACCCTTCCTTCCAGGAAGGAACCTTTGCTTATAGTACCAGAGGCTGTCTGATGTGCTTTCTACTCTAATTTCTCCATCAAATAGGAGCAGAAAATTGGGCTTTCCTGCTGGGAAATGACTGAGCTGTCTTTTCATGAGCTGTCAGGTGGTGAATTACTTCTGAGGGGCATGTTTATCTCCAAAAAGGGAAGAGAATCAACTTGGAAAATAAGCTCCATGGACAGCCTGAACCATTCTTGCATTGAATTTAACCTGATACCGTAAGGTCTGACAGCTTACAGAGGGAATAGCAGCTTTTCCTTCAACACAGAAAAACAAATCTTTGCAATATGAAGTTGCAACTCTCCTTTTTGTCCACATCTCCAGTTAGAAACTTCAAAACTAAGGTGAATTCCTTCCTCTGAGCCATCAGGCTATGACACCCACTGGTGGCCACAGTAAGTTTTGCTGGATCTGATACAATGGGGAAAGACCCAGAGGGGTGGTGCAGTTAGGCAGCCACAATGTACAGTTAAATCCTGTCCATTAAAGAGCTATTTTTAAGTGATTTATTGAGTTTTTCATGGTGTTTGGCTTGGCAGTGGTTGCAGAAAGAGTTTCTGTAGCATTCAGCTGTGTGGTCACCGCTGTTGTGGTGGTTACAAGGGTGAACTGCCTTTCTGGTCACTGGCATTCATTTGCATCCACAGTCATGGCAACTGCACATAAAAACCAGAGATGCCTGCCAACATGATGCTGTTCATAGATTTTGTATTAAAATCTGGCACAAGGCTCTCTAGATTGAAAGAGGCTGTTTGTGCATAGCAGCAGATACAGGATCTGTAATATTTATTTAGTTTTCATACGTACCAATTTCTATACAAAAGGGATTAAACCAATGCTTTCCATTTAACAAATCCTATAACCCATGCAGTGGCATTTTGATCTGCTTTTGTACAGTTAAAACCTGGCTCTACTCACACAACCGTGCACTCCAAAAACCTGTGCAGCTGTACAGAAACAGCAGCAACGATTGAATTTGGACCTCCCCTCTGCTTCCAGCTGTCTGTCTCCCTCATCCTTTTCCTAGTCTAAATTGGAACTTCTAGGTGAAGACCACTGTGGTGAAAGGTAGGGAAGCATCTTTGAGTGTTGTACATATGAGAAGCACAGGGCGACTCTGGGCAAGAGATGTTCTTGAGTTATCTGCTGTGAACATCCCAGCTTTGGCCTAAAAACCCTTTTAAATCTTAGATTCTGTGCACTTTTCTATGTGTTTTTCTGTGGCCACCCAGAGATAGAAATGCACCGAGTCTCTCACACTGTGATTTCACCAGCTATATTTTTGTTTCTTGCTTTGAACAGGCTGCTGAACAATAATCAGATAAAGCATATCGTGAGAAGATCCTTTGAAGATCTGGAGAACCTGAAGTACCTGTGAGTTGATAGCTCAGTAATCTCTTAACCTCTTTGAAATTTAACAGCTCACTTCTAAAGTTTTCCAGGGAAGGGTGTGCTTTGTGCACTCAGAATTTCTGGATGTTAATGTTGTAGCTGTAAAACATTGCCCTTGAATCCAATCAGAAAGCTCTGCTTTGGATTGAGGTTCATAGCTGCTTCCTGTGTCTTTTCAAATACGGCTGCTGTGTGGTCATTCTGATGCATTTCTCTCTCTCCTTTTGAAAGCTACCTTTATAAAAACGAAATTCAGAGCATCCAGCAACGTGCCTTCCGTGGGCTGCACTCCCTGGAGCAGCTGTAAGTATCCACAATGTGTGTCAGAGCTGAGCTGTCGGCTCATCTAACCCTAATTCTGCACTTCCAGTTGTGGGGTGCACTGAGCAAGGAGTGGGATGTCCAGCTTTGTTGTTTAGCTTTGCAGCATTGCACTGACTGCATCTGTGCACAGCTGGTTCCAGTGTTGATCTGGTTAAGGCAATATGAGGACATTCCTATGACATCCTATATATTCTCTCCCAGCCCCAGACTGCTGGAGCATAGGAAGAGCTCAGCTGTGCTTCTGAATACTTCTGCATCCACGGGCCTTCCAATGGGAGGGAAATACAGACCTGTTTGGTGGCTTGAAAAAGAGTGCAGCTGCCCTCCTGTGTTTGCTGTGGCTCCTGGAGCACAGTGTCAGGTCTGGCTGCTCTCTTCAATTGAGAGCAGTGGTTGTGTTTCTCTTTTGTTGGAAGCAAATGGGTGAAATGCAAGCTGAGAGCTCGGGTTGGAGTATTTAAGAAAACCACCAGGAAGGTGATGCCTGCATGCATTAAAGCATCTGGAAATTCCAATGGGGAGAAGATGATGGAGGCAAAGAAGCTAAGTGATGGCCTTCCCTCCAAGCTACATAGCACTCTGTGATGAAAGGAGCTTCGTGTGCTCTGCTGGCAGCTGGAGACTGACATTCCTGCACTCCTTAATTGCTCTCCTTCTGCTTATTGCAAGTCTGCATCATTTGTTCTAAGTAATTTTGTTTTTTGACTGTTAGTGCTCCATGCTCAAGGTGAGATGGAGAGGCTGAGTTCTGAGACTCTTCTGCGTCTTACTAAACTGGGATTTGATTTTTCATGCAGGTGTCGTGATGTGTTACGTGCATGTAGGTAAATGTGTGTGCTGGAAGGAATGTAAGCATGGGTGTTTTAAGTGCAGGCATTATTTGCATCATTGGAGAACAGACAGCAAAGGTGAAACCACTAATTCCTGGATTGTCCCAGATGACAGTTTGTAGGGCTCAAATTGTGACTAGCAATTTTCCTACAAAAGGAGTAGAATTCAGCTTGTTCTGCAGGCTGACAGCAAAAGTGGAGGGAGAATAGTGGGAAGTTCCAGCAAGCTTAACACTAGCTGTGCTCCCATCCTGGCGTAAGGGATGGGTTTATGGGTTTCCTTCATCCAGCTCTTCAGTGATGCCAGGGACAAAACATAGGAAGCGGATCCTGGCTGGGCTGTGCTTCCAGAGATGGTGCTGGCCATAGTGATACTTTAACAATGGGCGTTCCAGACTTGATGTCATGCATAAAAGGAAAAAAAACAACAAAACCACAAAACCAACAAACAACCCTCTGAAAGGCCCATCTGTTTTCAATCTCTCAGGCAGGAATGGTTCCAGAAGAATTAGCTTTGCTCAAATCCTGCTCCATTTTCCTGTACCCTACAGGCCAGCTTTTCAAAGAGAATATAACCCAGTTGATAGACAGTGTCAGGTGTTTTCCTCAAGGTCCAAAGCAATGACAGCAGATATCTCAAACTTACTGTAGCACATGCATTTCCCTCTCCCCACGCTTGCTCCCCACCGCAGGATCTGAGTCAGTGTGCCTTGGTTCATGCTCTGATAGCAAACCATGCATTGTGACTCCTTCCATTACAGATCAAACAGCCATGTGGAGGCTGAGGCAATTATTTCTTAATGCGGTCAGCTACAATAGCAGAACGAGTATTTGTAGATCCATGATTAATCAGTTTCCACTGTGAAATTTATGCCTGTGTAAAATCAGGGGGGAGAGTTTTGGCATTGTTCAGAGTGCACTGAAATGCCTCTAAGGGTCAGGAACATTTCAGTTATGTGAGTAATGTCACAGCAGATGGGAAGAGGGAATCTCGGCTCTCTTGGTGTGTTGCTGCAGACCTCAGGTTTCCTTCCCTGGTGGCAGGAGGTGATGTGGGACAGTGCAAGAGATCTCCTACACCTGTGGAGCAGCAGGTCGCTTGGGATTTTAGCTGGACTAGCAATACTAACCTTCATTAACAAGAGCAGGGCTGTTTACATTGATGTTCCATTTAAATCATGGTGTTCCAGCTGACTGCATCCCTGTTTTTTTCTGTCTGCAGAAGCTGCATAGCCTGATGGCAGCAGGTTCTCTTGATGTTTCTGTTCTCACTGGGTAGGCTCATTTGCTGGGAACTCCTGCTATCACTGCAGAGAAATGTGGGCTGGAAGAGACCTCTGGGTGTCCTCAGTCTGTCTTCCAGCTTCAAGCAGGACCAATTTCAGTTTTTATCAGGTTGTTCAGGGCCTTCTAGCAAACTCATGACCCCTCAGAAAGGCTGATAAGTGCTTTATAACATGGCAATGTATTCCACCCCAACAATCCAAGGGGAAGGCATAAGGCAAGGTTGCAAAGTTGCAGTTATGGTGGCTGGATGGGGAGCTGCAGGCTGCCTGTGGGAGCAGCTTTGTCCTCACACCTAACAATGCAACAGGTTCATAGTGGTGGTTGTAGCAGAAGGGCAAATCCGACCTGCTCAGTGTTTGCTGGAGTTTGTAAAGAGTGGGAGTAAATCATTTGGTATAGGGGAAATACAGCACTGGTTATTTGTATGGGAAAGTTAGAGACAGTGAAAAACAGGTTGGCTTCTGAACAGCATCTGCTCTGAGATGTGTGGTGACTGATTAGAGGATGTTGGTGCAGTGATTTGGAAAGATCTTCTGTCATTTAAATTGAGATCTGTAACCTTGTCCTTTGTGGTTTTCTGTGGCAGCTACCTGCATTTCAACAACCTGGAAACCCTGGAGCCAGAGACGTTCAGTGACCTGCCCAAACTTGAAAGGCTGTAAGTAAAGATGTGACCTTTCATGTGAGCACGGGGAGAGAAGGGGAAATAAACCTTTATTTGAAGCGAAGTGTGGTGATCTCCAAAATGGAGAGAAATGGAAAAAGCATCCTTAAAGATGCAGATTTTATGCACTTGCAAGGTAGGATGGTTAATGAGATTGGGAAGGGTTTTCTCGCCTTGTGTTATGTTTCCATTTGAGTAGGGGTAAATCTGTAGAAAGTCAATTTTATTCCAGCTGTAAGGTCAGCATTAGTCACTGCTGGGCAGTGTGGACAAAGTCACAAGGAAGTCTAACAAGAAAAATATGCATCCTACTTGAAAGCAGTGAGGAATCAAGGTCTCGTGTCTCTTACTCTCTAGTGCTGCTTGTAGTGACAGTATAGCCATCAGGAAAGGGACACACACAGATTCCTGCTCCATAGTGAAACCTACAGACACTTCTTTACTGCATGCAAACATGCATCCATGCATGGGGGAAAAACAAAGCTAGGAGATCCAGACACCCTCAGGACAAGTCAGACCTGGATCAATCTGCCATGGCTGATCTCAGCCTCTGTGTTTGATCCAACAGAAATTCTGGATTTAAAGTTCAGAGGAAGGTTTGTAAGCATCCAAGCTGGGCAACTGGACTGAATGTGCCTGTGCACGTGTGTGTGCAGACAGCTGTGTGCAAGCACACTGCTTTTGTATTTCTTTTCTGGTCCGCCATCTACTGCAATGAATTTTTACCTTTTGTAGATGGTCTTTTGTGAATGTGAGATGTAATGAATAACTAAATTTTCTCTTTTAAGGAGGGTTAATTGTTCCATCCTGGTTGCCACTGCTGTGTTTCAGTGCAATCAGTGTTTTGTTTTTTTTAACTGGAGAGTCTGAATTGGATCTGCTCATGGAGTTGGCTTAGTGACACTGAGTCTGAAGGTTGTCTGCTCTTGCTGGAGCCTTGCTCCAGTGCCTGCCCCATACAGCTTCCATCTCTTGTGCAGGGGGAGAAGGAGGTCTCTTCTAAACTAGAGCTGACCCAGGTGCAGAAATCACAGGGTGGGTCCAATCCACAGGGATTTTGTGCCCTTTCTCCTCCCTTTGCAGAGCACGAAGCAGATTAACTTGAAGGTTCCAGTTTAAATCTGTGACATCACGCCTTGAGTCACCATTTCCAGTACACACCCTCCCTCTGCTTTGGTGTGCTGCTCTGCACTCACAGACAAACCAGATCTCTGTAGGTCATGGATGCAAACACAGTAAATGTAAAAAGTGAGCTCCATCTTGGTGAGCAGCCTTTGTACTTAAGCTGAGTTTTGACCCGGGATGTTACCATCTGCAGTACAAATACTGAATAATGTTTTGGCATGGGTTCTTCCATTGCAGATTCTTGCACAACAACAAAATTTCCAGGATTCATCCAGGGACATTCTCTCAACTGGAATCCCTCAAACGACTGTAAGTGAAAAACATTGCCTGCAAAGAGCATTTGTTTATCTTTGATCAGATGGCCAGGACCTGAGGAAAAATGTGCCTGGTTGGCAAAGCTCTCAGTTGTTGCACTTCTAAGGCCACTGTTAAGTTTATAAAACAGTTTTGGTTGGATGCAAGAGCTGATTTAACCAGTTAGTAGTTACTTCACACTGGTGTCTAATTAAAGTCTAGCTCTAATCATCTTACAGCTCGCTAATGCCCCAGGAATGAGCATTCCTGAAAAGTCATCCCAACCCTCTGCAGCCCTACGTGCTCTGATCCCATAAAACATCCTGCAGAAACGTGGGATGTCGAGGCCACACGTGGGATCTCAGTCACGTCTTCACATTTGTCCTAACATGGAAGGAAAAAAAAACGTGCTCAGAGGAGTGCCACAGGTCTTGGTTCCCATCCCCTGAGGGAAAGCCCTGCTGTGTTATTCCCATGTAACCTGACAGTCTCTTAATCTTGCATTTTGATTGCTTATAACCCTTAGTACTTAGATTTGTTTGTCTTTTATGATCTGTGGAAATAAGTTCTAAGATGCATTTCTTTGGAAGGGAGAATAAAGCAACAAGAAACACACAGAATTTCGGTGTTTTACCACGATTTTAAACTGCAAGAAAATAATGTGCTTCTCACTATCTCACCACAGCCCTCTGTGATTTCTGCAAGCAGGTAGAATGCTTCATTTTTTGAACAGAGAACAGCTCATGAAATGTTGTCTGCACATGTCAGAGCAAAAGATGTAGTGTCTATAAAAAGCTCTATCGTGGCCTCGTGTGAAATCTCACTTTCTCAGATGTTTGTCCATTAAAACATTAGGTCTTTCCCCCACGTATTTATATGGCTAAGACCCATCTACTATAAAACTGTCTGGGGATGGAGACATAAACTAATCCCCCAGCAGCCTCCTTATCCTTGCACGTAACCCTGCACGTCGTAATGAGGTCAGTGGGAGGAAAGGCGTGGGTGCAGCTGGAGGTCACCAGTGCTCCCATTCGACATGTGCTGCAGCAATAAAAGTTCTTACAGCGCTGCAGAAATGCTACAACCTCTAGGATAAGATCGGTCCCATGCACACTGAAATCATGGAGGTGTTTTTGCTGATTTCGGTGTATTCCAGTAATGGCTTATGCAGGGGGATGCTGTTATTCCCATGTGTTCACTTGGATGCATTGCATCTTGCAGTCTATCTGGTTGGTGAAAAAAGGGGGACTTTATAACGCATGTTGTGCTTTGTGCTCCTGCAAACGAACTGCAGGATTGGATTTTAGCACTGGGGCAGTTAGGTGTGCAACGCTATGCATAATCAGGTTAAATAGAATGATTTTCATTTGAAACTGGGATAGCTGATAGACGAAAGATTGTCAGCTAAATCACTCTGACTTGGTTGAGCACCTTATCTAAATGTTGTGGGAATGAACTATCTCAGATTCTGCTTTGGGATACGATCAAATGCCAGGCAGAGCAGGCAATTGGGAAGCTGGGGGCTGACGCGCTTTCCCCTGCTCTTGCAGGCGGCTGGATTCCAATGCACTGCTCTGTGACTGTGACCTGCTGTGGCTGGCTGAGCTGCTGCAGAAATACGCCGAGCTGGGCAGCATCCAGACTGCAGCCACCTGCGAGGCCCCGCGGGAGCTGCACGGTCGCTCCATCGTCACCCTGACTGCCCAGGAGTTCAACTGTGGTGAGTGGGATGCAAAAACCCCTTGGACCCAAGGCTGGGTTCTGAGCTTGGAATTGCTTTGTCCCTCCAGAAGTGCTGGTGAGCGGTGGGCTGACCATGAGCCAGCGGTGTGCTCAGGTGGCCAAGAAAGCCAATGGCATCCTGGCTTGTATCAGAAGCAAGTGCAGCCTTGCATAGGGTTGAATTAGCACAAATGGGCTCATGACCTCTAGCACATGGGAGGAACTTTTCTGTTCTGTCTGGAGACAGCAGCTGGAACAGGCCTGCTGCCATGGACTGTGCTGCACCATGAGCCATTCCTGCCACTATTGGAAATTTGTCCTGCTTTAGGCATGGGCGCACAGTGGGATGCCTGTCAAATCAGCCAGAGCACCTGTGGTGGGAACATTTTGCTGGCATTAGGCTATTACGCTGGTTTTGTGCCAGCTGAGGGAAGACAAATGATGCATAATGCAGCATAAAGCCCTAATGATGCAAAGAGCTGATATCTGAGTCAGGATGGAGCCTGCTGGCATGAAGCTGACCCACCACTTCTTAGCAGATGTCAGCCAGCAGTGCAGGTTTGTACTGGATCAGCATTTTGTGTCACGGCGCTTTTGGTCCCACATCAGCATCCTGGAGGTTGGTCACCAACTTGCAGGCTGAAGAATAAGGGCACAGGCCTTTCACTGAGCAAGATGGCAGGTTCTCTCTTAATCTTCTGAATAATCCAGCTGTTTTCACTGGATTACAGGTCAGCATAGAGATTATTACACATGTAAGTATTCTGCTGAAATGAGATCAAGTGCTTTAGACAACGTGCCTAAATTCCTTCCTATTTTAGCACATCCCTTGAATGTGTTTGGCTTGCTCAGTGCATGAGTACATCTTAAAATGAAGCACGTAGTGAAAACCTCAGTTGAATAGGGTTGGCTCTATTCAGGGACATAATGAATGAAATTCTGTCAAAAGGGAAGCAGCGTGATTTGCAGAGAGCTGGCACTGTTCGGATGGAGCCAGCAGTCACTGGGAGCTGTGGGCTGCCAAGGGCATGAAAACGACCCGTGTGAGGATGCCACCAACTCTTTGCTTGTTCTGGGGAGCCAGGGGCCAACTCTTGATGAAGCAGCATACAGGGAGATTTTGTGCCCTGTGTGCCTGGGCTGAGCAGGAGGCAGCCACTGGCAATCAGAATGGCCACACCAATCCTCGATGGTACTTGGGCTTGGGGAGCTGTTCCACTGCTGGCATTGTTTGTTTTGCTGATGCTGGTACGGGGTGTTGGGCTGGGTGCTGGTGTGCTCTGCCAGGGGCTGGTTGCACTGGAGGTGGTTTTGTGCTACTGGCTTGTGTTAAAATGGTCTTTTGCAGAGAGGCCTCGCATCACCTCAGAGCCCCACGACGTCGATGTCCTCTTGGGAAACACGGTTTATTTCACATGCAGGGCAGAAGGCAACCCAAAGCCTGCGATTATTTGGCTCCACAACAAGTAAGTGCCATACAGTGAGCCCAGGGGTAGCAAACATTCCTACCAAGCACTGAACTTTTCAGTGACTGCTGCGATTACAAAGGCTGTTTCACGCAGTGTTAAAGATACAGGAACAATATTCCATGGGTTGCATTTACCTTCTTTTTAATGGTATTCTCTGATGAGCATGTAACCCAAGTTATCTGTATTTAAGACGTACAGGTGTGTTGCAGTGAATTCCAAGAGTTTATAGCTCTCCTGTAAACACGCTCTGCAGGCTGAAAGCAATTGTCTTCTGATTAAAAAAATAAAAGTATTTCATGTTGCTCTCAGCCACCATATTTGCCATTTATTAACTGCTGAAATGCTTCTTGTATCTGGATTTTTTCTCGCTGAAGGACCAGCGTGATGGGTGTGTGCTTTTCTATTGAGGGGAAAATTACTGTGCTCCACTGAAAGACAGACCTTGCAAAGCAGTGAATAGATGAATGTTCTGTACAGCAATGCTGAAAAAATATATGCCTATGCTAGATGCCAGAACATTTCTGAGCAGTGCTACACAACATTCAGTGTTCAAGCAGTTACCCACTGAGGAAGCAAAGTTCCTGAGCTGCTTTATGAGCTCCTTGTCTGAGGGAGTCTCAATAAGGGGCTGGTTATTAATAAAAATGATCAATGTGTGCTCCTTCAGTTAACTCCCCACTAGGCAAAGTTTCAGCACAGAGCAAAAGTTTACGTCTGAGTTAAGTCCCCCTGGAAGGAAGATTTTGTTGGGGAAATGCTGGCAGGCTCCCAAAGATAGCATTGTAAGAGGGATAATGATAATAAATGTTCAGCAAATGAGGTATGACTACAGTGAAGAGACATCAGAGGAATTAAATAAAGGCCCAGCAAGCATGTTAGTTTGCATAGTGGATTCAGCCTTTGTCCTGGTGGGAGTGAGGTCGCCTCTCTCTTCTCAATCATTTGCAGCCATCCAGGACTCCTTCATGCTGGGACAAATGGGGTGTTGCAGTGAGACCTGCTGCTGCGGGCTGGGCTCTGGGGACTGGAGCCACTGCAGAATAAGGAAAGATGCTTTGCAGCTCTTACATCCCAGACTGGAACCCAGGCTGTGGTGGGGCCCCATGGTGCCTTTCTCAGAGGTTTTTTGTCTCCTCTAAGGCTCTTGGGCCCACTTAAATAGAAATGGCTGCACACAGTAACAATATGCATTTGTTATTATATTTACATTTAGTAAATAATAGGAGCAAGCTTTCTAAGCTCAGATGCATGGCAGTAGCAATGATGCTATTGCGTGGGAACAGCATGCTCTCCTGATGGACTGTAAATGTCGCACATAGTCAGCAATGAGAGAGAAAATAGCTCATCCCATCCAGGGAGTAAATCAGAGCTGGAGTTCAGTGCTCTAAATCATAACCCTTGCTATAAATGTCACGAAGTCTCAAAGCAGTGTCAAGGAACACCGATTTAATCTAATTCATGCGAAGCCCCCTGGCATCTTGTGGGAAGAACACTTCAGCTTTCCCCCTTCCGACTTTGCCTGTCTGTGGCTGTTTTTCAGTAATGAGATTGACATGAAAGATGACAATCGCTTGAACCTGCTGCAAGATGGCACCCTGATGATCCAGAATACCAAGGAGTCAGACAAAGGTGTCTACCAGTGCATGGCCAAGAACATCGCTGGGGAGGTCAAGACCCAAGAAGTCGTCCTGCGCTATTTTGGCACCCCATGTAATTGAGCCTTGGGTACCCCTTTGATGGGTTGGGAGTGTGGTTGGGGCTAGAAGTGGAGCTGATCACTAAATCCTTACTTTATATGCGCCAAGTAGTTTTTGGTGTGCTGGGGAATAGAGTGGCTAATAGTATAATGCCATCTTCGTTCGTTCATGGGAATTGGAAATTGAGAGGTTGGAGATTGGAGGTGATTTGGGAGCAGAGAGGAAATTTAGAGGCTGTGAAGAATTCTACAAAGTGATGGGGACACGGGGGTGGGGAAACATCAGCAGCAGGGTATGGGGAGGTTGTGTGAAAGAAGAGGGGCTGGGGGCAATGCTGAGGATTTGGAGGTCAGGGAAGAGCTAGATGGATGCTAGCTGGGCTGCATGAAGAGTCTGAGCAATTTCTGTCCATAAGCAAGCAGGCAGCAGGGCTCCTGGTTTCTGAAGCACTCATTTCCTTCCAGCCAAGCCCACTTTTGTGATCCAGCCGCAGAACACTGAAGTGCTGGTTGGGGAAAGCGTCACCTTGGAGTGTGGGGTCTCTGGGCATCCCCACCCTCGCGTCACCTGGACACTTGGCACAGGCTCTCCTTTACCACAGGATCCCCGCTTCACCATCACCAGCTCTGGAGGACTCTTCATCCAGAACGTCACCTTCTCGGACCAGGGACAGTACAACTGCAATGCCAGCAATACTGAGGGATCCATCCGGGCGACGGCGAGGATCATAGTGCAAGGTGGGGAGCCCCAGGCTGGTGCTGTTTCTGGGGTGAAGTGCTGAGTGTGTTTAACCCCTGTGCATCAAAACTAGTTAATTTTCATGCTCCTATCTGAGAATTAATCTGAGCTTGTGCTGGTTTTTTGGTTTTTTTTTGCCTGCTGCTCAGTCGCTGTTTTCCCTTCCAGATTCTCCCAGGTTCCTCCTTGTCCCCACTGATCAGACAGTAACCGAGGGACAAAGTGTGGATTTTCCATGCTCTGCTGAAGGTCACCCCCCACCTGTGATTGCCTGGACGAGAGCAGGTATGGCCTCACTTGACTTGGGTTTTCTCTCTTTGCCACCATCCACAGGGTACAGGTGAGAGGAGCTGTGTTGTTGATCACCAAGGATAATGTAAAGCGCTGAGAAAGGCTGCCCAGAAAAGCTGTGGATGCCCCATCCCTGGAGGTGTTCAAGGCCAGAACCTTGACCTGATGGGGGGCAACCTGCCCACTGCAGGGGGTTGGAACTAGATGATCTTTAAGGTCCTTTCCAACCAAAGCCATTCTGTGAGAACATATTCTCTTAGGTCATCATGTTGAAAGGAAGGAGTGTGCCATTTTTCATCAGCATGAAGCCTACAGAAAGCCTTGAACATCCTGCTGAGTCTTCTACCTCCTCTGGAAGGGCAGAGTCTGGACACCACCATCAACGAGCTCTGTGTCATTGCCATTGCTTTGCTCCTCTTGACGAGCACAAAGCAGGAGAATGCTGGTCACTGCTGACACTGCTCTGAGCTTCCTTTTAGCTCAGCAAAAAGCACTTTGGGCCAACAGGTGGTGGTGAGCTTTTAAAGTCTCAGATGATTGTTAACGCTGGCTCCACCAGACTGATCCCATCTAACACTTTCTGGGACAGAAGCCAATAATGCTTGGCCCAGAGGCCCTCCAACTTTTCCTTATGCTTCACAAGCCATAATTAATGGCTTAGTGCCGTGGAGGATTCATGGCTATTGTATTCCAGCTTCCACAGCAATAGCCCTGACACGGGGTTAAGAAGGACCAGCTGAAATTCTCTACCACACTCTCTATCTCCTTTAACCCAGATCTCTGGTAGAGATGTGAAAAGTGACAAGAAGTAAGATTAAGCAGACAGTTTTGTAACCAGATTTGCAAGGTCATTTGGCAGTGCAGCAATTAACCAAGGTTTGTAGCACCTTCATGTGTTGCAGCCAGGATAAGAGGACAAGATGAGGTGGAGCAGAACTCATCCTCAGAGTCACTTCTGACAGCATAGGGAGGGTTCAGATTCCTCACGGTATTTGATATAAATAAACCCTTATCTGGAAGAAGGTGAATATTTAAAGAAAAAAGTCACCAAAGTTCTGACATTTTTGAGGAAGTTAGTAAAGTACCTATTTTGAATTTAAGTAGAGGACGTATTGGAACAGTACAGTCTCTAAACTGAAGAAAGTCAAAATGCTGAATTACGAAAGAGACAGTTCTAACTGTTTCCATGTATTTGATTAACCCACATGGTTTGGTTAATTGAACACAGAGCTGCTATCCATCAGGTGTCAGTGAGCCTGCAGTTTTCGCTAAGTAAAGGCTTGTGAGGAAATCAGAAACATACCATCTCCTTCCCATTGCTTACACAAGACAACTCCATCATCGTCCTGGGTGTGGGAAGAGCAGCATCTGTCCTGTTCCCCTCTTAGCGAGATGAAGGCTGTATTTCAGGGTGGCTGATGGCACGTTGGGGATGACACGAAACGTTGAACTTGTAGATACACCAGTGATGGGAGGAGAAAGCTGAGAGGTGATGAACTAATTAAGCTGTTTGTTGGAGCAGGGGGACCGCTGCCGAGCGACCGGAGGCACAGCATCCTCTCCACGGGGACCCTGCGAGTGATGAGGGTGGCCCTGCATGACCAAGGGCAGTACGAGTGCCACGCCATCAGTGCCATTGGTGTGAGGACCCTGCCTGTGCAGCTGGCCGTGACCCCGCGGGGTAAGCTGGGGTGGTGGGAAACTCAGGCTGACAAATGGCTCTGGTTAAGTTGATGTCATGGTGAATAAGGCAATCGGGGAACTGTGGGATGGGATTTTGCTTTTGCCAGGGGTGTAGAAGTCTGGCCACCAGAGCTCCGTCAGCTGGTGGGAAACTTGAAGGAAGTTTGCAGAGTGCCAAGATTTGTGAGTTGGAAGGAGCTGCTTTGGTTTTCCTTCCTTGGAAATTTATTGAGCTGTCAAGAAAGAGTGTAACCGTGGGAATGAAATCATCTGGGGTGGGCCGTGGTTGGGGGAAGGGCTTGTATGCACCCCACAGACACCAGGCAAGGCTCTGTGACCAAGGAGTGGCCATCAGATGAGCTCTGTTATCCAACCAGTTTGGGTGAGACATGGGGCCCTTCGCTCTGTTTGGAGATTTTAATAAGCAAGTGATTTTGGTAAAGGAAAGGAAACCAAAGGTTTTTGTTGGAAAATTTACAAGTTGTATTAATTGAGTTCTTAGTAATATTTATTTATTTAATTTGGGCCTTCCTATAGAACAAGTTGTGAGATTCCTTTTTTTTTTTTATTTTTCATATTTGAAGATTCTAAAGAAAAACACCCGGTTCCCCCTCACCAAGGCATAACTCTGGGTCCAGAGACATTTATCTTCAACGTTAGCTTACAAGGTCATAGGTTCAACCTAAATTTAGGTGTTCTTGAATATTAAGCCTTTGTAAAAACACACAGGAATGTGTTTTGATTTTCTTTTTTATTCCCATATAAATAATCTTTCCACATGCTCTTTCACAGACTTGACAGAATTTTACTAATTTTACTGGGTGGAAGGAAACTAGAAAGATGAAATTAGTAATGCTTAATGAAAAGAGCTCACAGAATATTTTAAAAGCAGGAAGATCAATAGAACGACTTGATGTGACCTCACACTTGCCAGACGCCTTCATTTGGTAACTCCTGAATCAATTCAAAATCATCACTTCAGCTACTGCAGCTCTCCTATGCAGAAAGGTTGAGGGAACTGGGCTTGTTTAGCTTGGAAAAGATGCAGAAAGGTTGAGGCTCTGGGGAGACCTCACTGTGGCCTTCCAGTACTTGAGGGGAATGTATAAACAGGAGGAGGAATGGCTGTTTACAAGGGTGGATAGTGATAGGACAAGGGGAATGGTTTTAAACTGAGCCAGGGGTGGTTTAGGTTGGATATTAGGAGGAAGCTTTTCACACAGGGGGTGGTGAGGCACTGGAACAGGTTGCCCAAGGAGGCTGTGGATGCCCCATCCCTGCAGGCATTCAGGGCCAGGCTGGATGTGGCTCTGGCAGCCTGGTCTGCTGGTTGGTGACCCTGCACATAGCAGGGGGTTGGAACTGGGTGATCTTTGAGGTCCTTTTCAACCCAGGCCATTCTACCATCTGTCCTAGAAAGTCATTTAATGGAAGATTTTAAATGACAGAGAAGCCAGCACATTCCCATATAATTGCCCCAAATAGAGATGCATAAGAATAGAAAGTAATGAATGTAAATGATGGAGGATGTGGTGGAGAGACAGAGAACAGACTTTGGTTGGGAGAGCCCTTGCAACAGCACAGACAGCCATTTTCCCAATGGTGAGATGCTTTGCACGTGGATTTGTTTTCCTTCATGCATTTACTGTGACTCTCCCCTGTGCTGCACAGTGATTCCTGTGTTCCTTCACCCCCCACAAGACCTGGTGGCAGAGACAGGCCAGGACGTGGCCATCACCTGCGCTGCCCAGGGGGACCCACGGCCCACCATCACCTGGGTGAAGGTAAGGGGCTGCCAGACCAACATTTCAACTGATTTGGGTTCTTAAATGGTTTAAAGGTACGTTGCTATTTATCAAGCTCAAAGCATTGCAGTGCACATTCCTGTTTTCTCTTGCTCTTCTTTCCAAAGGAGTAACGTAAAGGCAGTGACCTTTCAGGATGTTAGGGATGCTTGACTGACTATTCCCAGAGAAAACTGCAAACTGATTATTCTTTTCCTAAGTAGTTTTGCTTATTTCCAGGATTCCCACTGCTGGAGCTGGATGTGCTGGTTGGCTCTAGATGGAACAAAGCCATGATTTTTCACAGTCAGTCTGCAGCCTGGCTTCTCTTTTGAATAATTTTGAAGAATTCATTAGATGGAGCTCTTTGGGCTTTTTCTTGCTGTGCCATAGCACTGCACTTCAGACCTTCCCTGGCTACAAGCACAGTCAGGCATGCAACAAATTACAGGGGAAATAGCTTGAGCCTCATTCCTCCTGTGGAGATCTGCTGGCAGGTGACATGCAGCTTTCCAATAGTGGAGCACAAGGAGAGAAGAAGCATTACATTGGGCCAAGACAGTGAAAAGATGTTAAGGAGAATGAAATAAAACTGAAGCCACCAACCAGGCTGAGAGGTGGGGTCGAGCATAGTGCTGCTCAGAGCCAGCAAAAACTGCAATCTGCAGCCCAAAGCCAGAAAAAAACCCTTGGTTCCAAGTTATTTAGACTTATTCCTGCAGCACAGAACTTCTATGCCACCCTGTCTGTGCGGAGTGCAGTGCAAAGGGTGCAGCACCCGTGCCCTGCAGTGAATGCTGGAGGCAGAGCAGGAGGAGCTGAGCACCTCGCAGTGGCTCCAGGCAGCAGCAGCTGTCCTCGGATGGCTTTCTGCTTTCTTTCTTTCGAAGAGCAGTGCTAACATCTGGTGGCCACGTTGGCTCATCGCATCCAGTTTGCTGAAGGCTGGGATGCAGGGGAGCTTCCCCCACGCTGACACAGTTTCTGTCTTTTTGAACAGGAGGGGATTCAGATCACGGAGAGCGGCAAGTTCCACGTGAGCCAGGACGGGACCCTCTCCATCCAGGATCTTGGAGTGGCTGACCAGGGCAGATATGAGTGCATAGCACGGAACCCCTTTGGCTTCACCTCCAGCGCCATGCAGCTCACCATCACCGGTAGTGTTACCTCCTCCTGCTGCTCCTTTTTGCCCTTATGCAAAGCGAGGTTTACGCAGTGTTGATGGTTGTACTTTGGATGAAAACTTATTTCTTTAGCTTTGCAGGTTGCTCACAAACACGAGGGGGAGAACCTTCTTAGCATGTGCCAGCACGCTCCCACGTCTGACCCCAATCTCACACACCAGGAAGGGAAAGGGAGAACAGCTCTTAGTGCAAAGCAGGGGCTTAAACATTCCCTCTGTCCCCAGAGGCTGGGCAATAAGCCTCTGCTTTTCAAGCAACTGCTCTGTGCATTAGGGAAAGTGGAATGAATAAAGAAGAGCAGCACTCCTCTGCTGGTCAAAGCAGAGGTCAAGTGTGGCATTGTGCCTCATAGAGGGAAAGGAAGAACTGATGAGGGGCAAAAATGCAAAGGCGAACAATGAGGTTAACGATCTGAGTAGAGACCTTTACTTGAGCACGTAGGAATTACCAGCAGGAATAGTGAGCAGCTTATTAGGTGAAATTAATATCATTTTCAGGGACTGTATGCAAGGGGCTGAAAATAATCTGAAAACTCTTTGTTACTTGAAATTATTCCTGAGATAATTTCTGTGATTTATTCTTGGTTTGTTCCTCATTTCCCCACTGCCTGCTGCATGCGTATGCCAGTGCTCAAATAAAGACTGGTCTGCTTTGCTGTGAAAAAGGCCCTGGCTCAAAAAAAAAAAAAAAAACATTTTTTAGGAATTTATCATTTACTTCTGAAGGTATCCAAGCATCAGTATTCATTTTTATTTTAAAATGGTGGTGTTGATGCACTAACGAGTTGAATTAGAAGTGTCCCACAAATGGAAAATTAACATCTAAGTGATGCCTTCAGATGAATGTCATGAATTCTAGAAATGTCCTTTGTGGGAAATAAAAGCATTATTTTCAGTTCACCCACTGAGATTTGTACATGTTCTTTTTCCAGTTTAACCACCAACCAAAGCAGGCGTTCATTTGCACAGCTGTACAGGAACAGACTCTGAATGCGTGTTGCACAGCCATCTCCTGGAAACATCACCTCTTTTTCTTCTTAATTTAATTAATTAAATTAAAAATCAGAATTTAATTTAATTTCTTCTTTAGAATATCTGATAGAAAAACAAAAACAAAGTTTAACAATGGTCGAGTTGCAAATGGAAATGCAGGTTGATTTGCAGTAGAGTTACTTTGGTGCCTGTCCCTCAGACAAATTTTCTTGAGCTTGGAAGACAAATTAATATCCAGGTAAATGCACAGTGTTTATTCTCTCTTTCTGCTTTGGAAAGCCACGGACGTCGGTCGCAGTGGTGACACATTTGTAGCCACATCCCTGCAGGAAGCCATCAGCAGTGTGGACCATGCCATCAATTCAACACGCACTGAGCTGTTCAGCAGGTACATGTGTCAGGGGCCAGGATCTCACATCTCAGTGTGAGAGATGGGGACAGGAGGCACTGAACGAAGCTTTCTGAAATCTCATTTTATCATTGACAATCTGCAAATGAAAGCTACTGTATTGTCCAGGGTATTGAAGGTTGAAGCTGTGCCATCTAGATGTAAGGATGGGCTAGAACTTCATAACAGGAAGGTGTTTGGGATCCTGGAAAAAATTGGTATATTAATAGCACTTCTTACATTACATACATCTACTGCATGCATTTGGTCAACTGGAGTTGGCCCAGAGACAGGACACAGAAAAAAGTAAATCAGCATAGTTGTTTTGTGAGTGCAGCAGACTTTGTGCAGGACAAGAGAAATGCTGATACAATTCCTAGCATTTCCTCAATGAAAAATGACATCGAAGAGAATGAAAATTCCTTCCATTTCCATTCCAAAATATGTTTTTTATTGAAACAATAAACAGTTAAGCCCCAAACCTCTGGGTTTTGGTGACTGAAAAATAAATGGCTACAGAAAAGAAAACAAACAAACAAACAAACACAAATACCAGGAAAATTAAATATGTTTACTTTCCTAGGGAAAAATATCCTTTCTTTAATCATCTGTAATATGTGGGTTAGCTGCATTTATGTGCACTGGTTTTGGAGGTCAAGCAGGAAGGCAGGCTGAGAACCTGATTCCCATTGCTCTGAGCGCTGTGTGTTTATTTTGATGTTCTTCTGTCTCTCTTAATTCCTGGGGACAGACGCCCCAAGACACCCAACGACCTGCTGGCCCTCTTCCGCTACCCACGGGATCCTTACACCATTGAAACAGCCAGGGCAGGTGAGATCTTTGAAAGGACTTTGCAGCTGATTCAGGAGCACGTGCAGCAAGGTTTGATTGTGGATATGAATGTCACAGGTAAGAGAGATTTTATTTTCCTTCTTAACCACGTGGGTAGAATGAAATTAAAATAACAGCGTGTAGGCATGCAGAAAATGTAAAAAGTCTTGTGCAGTATTGTGCCAAAATGTCTCCATCGATTATAGGTATGGTAAGAAATGTGTTGTCTGGGTTGCAGTTCTATCTAAGATCTCATGGGTGTCAGAACAGCCAGAGGGTTGTGTGGCTGCTGAACCAGCTCAGCGCTCAGGAGAGTAGTTCAGTTTTGCTAAACATTTCCTGACTGTCTATGAAGGCATTGATGATCCTTATGAACACTCACGTGTCTTACTCCCACAGCTCCAAAGAGGGGCAGAGCATCAGAGTGCCTCTGTGGGTCTGAGTTTTGGTCAGAGACATTTCATAGAATCATGAAGCTTGGAAAAGACTTCCAAGATCCCCAAGTTTAACCCCCAGCAAACCCCATTGTGCCCACTGCCCACAGCCCTCAGTGCCACATCTCCACAGCTCTGGAGCACCTCCAGGGATGGTGACCCCCCCACCTCCCTGAGCAGCTGTGCCACTGCATCACTGCTGTTTCAGATATGAAATTTTTCCTGATATCCATACTGACTTCCTGCCTTCCAAGTGGCAACAAGCAAAATACTGAAAACTGTGGTGTGTTTGGGTTCAGAATAGAGAAAGGGGATCTTACTCCTGATTTTTGCTATGTGTGGTCTTTTAGGACTTTGACCTCTTAGCTACAAACTCCCACATGTCCCAGCCACTCAGATTCCTCTTTTTAGTACAAGATATAAGCACCACAGAAGTGGAACACCACGGTGCTGTGCTGGCCAGAGATCACAGAATTGTAGAACACCCTGAGAAGGCACCCTAAGGACCATCGAGTCCAACCCCTGGCTCTGCACAAGACCACCCAAAAATCAGACCACGTGCCTGAGAGCAGTGTCCAAATGCTCGTTGAATTCAGGCAGCTCAGGGCTGTGATCACTGCCCTGGAGAACCTGTTTCATGCCCAACACCCTCTGGTGCAGAACCATTCCCTGATATCCAGCCCAAACCTCCCCACAGATCCCTGCAGAGATCTAAGCATCCTGCAGTAGCCTTCCTGTGTTTGGACATTTCCATCCACTGCACATTGCTACCTATGTGTGTTAGTCATTGTGTAGCAGGCATGTATGTTTGGGCCATAAATACTTTATGCCTGGATCCACTCCAGGCTGCAGGGAATCTCCCTGCAAGCTGCAGGTCAGGTCTGGGCTCATTGCCCTGCCAGCCTCTCCCTGTTCCTGCATACACCGCAGCATTATTCAGCACATCACCAAGTCACCAACAGCTTCCCTGCTGCTCGTCACGTAGAGTTTGGGTGATCAGTGGTGCTCAGGGTTGCAGCATTAACCCAGAGAGATGTGAAATGACCCCAGTGCTGACTGCAGAACGGGAACCAAACCGCCTTGCTGTTTGGTCTGCAAATCTCAGCAGTTCTGATTTCCATCTCTGCACAGTTCACACTTAAATGCTTTTCCATTTCTTTTCTTTTCTATGGGTCTGATGTTATCTTATGCTTCCATATGTTCTGTAAATCACATATTGCTTAGAGATGTAGTCTTTCCATGCCCATCCTGGGAATCCCAGAAGCAGGCTTTCAATAGCACCCTGACATGGGAATCAGATGGCCCACTGGCTCTGACACTGCCCTGTTGGTTCCATTTGCAGGCTATCGTTACAACGATTTGGTGTCTCCTCACTACCTGAACATGATTGCCAACCTGTCTGGCTGTTCTGCTCACCGCCGCACACCCAACTGCTCCGATATCTGCTTCCACAAGAAATACAGGACCCACGATGGTTCCTGCAACAACCTGCAGCACCCGATGTGGGGTGCTTCTCTCACCGCCTTCCAGAGGCTCCTCAAACCTGCTTACCAGAACGGATTTAACCTCCCCCGGGGGTTTTCCTTGGCAGAAGATGCCAGGGACCTGCCCCTTCCCTTACCCAGGCTTGTCTCCACTGCCATGGTCGGGACTGAGACCATTACCCCAGACGAGCAGTTCACACACATGCTCATGCAGTGGGGCCAGTTTCTGGACCATGACATGGACCAGACGGTGGCAGCCATCAGCATGTCCCGCTTCTCAGATGGAGCACCCTGCAGCCAGGTGTGCAGCAATGACCCACCCTGCTTCTCTGTCCTGATCCCCGCCAATGATCCACGTGTCAGGAATGGGCGCTGCATGTTCTTTGTGCGCTCCAGCCCCGTGTGTGGCAGTGGGATGACCTCCCTGCTGATGAACTCTGTCTATGCCAGGGAGCAGATCAATCACTTGACCTCTTACATCGATGCCTCCAATGTGTATGGCAGCACCGAGCAGGAATCACGTGAGCTGCGGGATTTGAGCAACCAGAATGGATTACTGAAGCGAGGGAGGATGGTGCCCAGCTCGGGGAAGCACCTCCTGCCCTTCGCTGTGGGGCCTCCCACTGAATGTATGAGGGATGAGAATGAGAGTCCTGTGCCATGCTTCCTGGCTGGAGACCACCGTGCCAACGAGCAGCTAGGGCTCACGGCCATGCACACGCTGTGGTTCAGGGAGCACAACCGCATTGCTGCTGAACTGTCTGTCCTCAATCCCCACTGGGATGGAGACCTCCTGTACCACGAGGCGCGGAAGATCGTGGGTGCCCAGATGCAGCACATCACCTATGCCCAATGGCTCCCCAAGATCCTTGGGGAAGCAGGAATGAAGATGCTGGGTGAGTACAAAGGCTATGACCCCAACGTCAACGCGGGGATTCTCAACGCTTTCGCCACTGCTGCCTTCCGCTTTGGGCACACTTTGATCAACCCCATCCTGTACCGACTGAATGAAACCTTCCAGCCCATCCGCCAGGGCCACGTCCCCCTGCACAAGGCCTTCTTCTCCCCTTTCAGGATCACGCAGGAGGGTGGGATTGATCCACTCCTCCGTGGGCTCTTTGGGGTTCCTGGGAAAATGAGGGTCCCTTCAGAACTCCTCAACATGGAGCTGACAGAGAAGCTCTTCTCCATGGCACACTCTGTCTCCCTGGACTTGGCTGCTATCAATATCCAGAGAGGACGAGACCATGGCATCCCACCTTACAATGACTTCAGGGTCTTCTGCAACCTCTCATCTGCACAGGAGTTTGAGGACCTCAGAAATGAGATAAAGAACTTGGAGATCAGGGAAAAACTCAGGAGGTACTGTAGCCTGGACTCAGAGGGATTACAATCACTGGAGATCAGCTAGTGAAAAGATTTTGCTCCTCCTAGAGCATCAGTGAAATAACCTTCCTATCGAATAACCAGATATTGCTGTCCACAGATATTGGGTTAAGTTAGTAGCTGTGGTTTGCGAATGGAGTAAGAGAAATAAGGTCTCTCCAAGTGATCAGGCTGTTTGTGAGCAAAATGTCATCAGGCACTGCTGTAGTGTAGCTTGGGAGCAGACTGAGCCTTGGAGCTATTTTCCAGAGAGGCTAAACTGCAGTGCCTGAACTGGCTGCTATTAGCTTACTCTTTCCAAGACAGACCTTTATCCCAGTCTCTTTTAGATAACACCAAATTAGAAATATGTTCTAGATTTCTTCCTGTCATACACATGCCTACAATAGGATCAAATTTTTGTCTTTACTTTTTGATAGTTTTTAAATGCTTGTGTGTGTGGTTTTTTTTGTTTGTTTGTTTTTTAATATATATATATTTATCCTTCAGCTTATATGGAACTACCAAAAATATTGACCTGTTTCCAGCCCTGATGGTGGAGGATCTTGTCCCTGGTACCAGAGTTGGACCAACGCTGATGTGCCTGTTAACAACACAGTTCAGGAAGCTGAGGGATGGAGATAGGTATTATCATCAAAGTCAACTCAACATTCTGTTTGGGGAGATTTGCTCCCTGTGAGGAGCAAGGAAGGAACAGAACCTGTCATTTTTGATTGTTCTTTGTCTTACGATAGCAAGAAGGGTCTCCTCTGCTCAGGACTTGTCACAGTTACTTTCGTTGTGTGCATTCATGATTTAGCAATTCCCTTTCCACCAATAATGTCTCCTCAAGAGAATATCTGTAGGATCTTCCTTCTGATTCCCAATTTGCTCCTTGTGCATGTGCCTTGGGATTCCCCTGCACAGGGCTGTATGTATGGGTGCTCGTGTTCTGCAGCTCACAGCGATTCCTGGCTTCACTGTACTGAATTTTGTGTTCACAGCTGCCCGATAGCAGAATAAAAGCTCCTTTGGGTGTCTGGGTGCTGCCATGCAGATGTAGAGGAGCTCTTCTGCCATTTTCCTCTCCTTACTCATGCTGTGATTACAACGCCCTGCAGGTTTTGGTATGAGAACCCAGGAGTCTTCACGCCGGCGCAGCTGACTCAGCTCAGACAGTCGTCCCTGGCTCGTGTCATCTGTGACAACAGCGACCACATCCAGCAGCTCCAGAGGGACGTCTTCCGTGTGGCATCGTACCCACAGGGCATGGTGGGCTGCGAGGAGATCCCTGCTGTGGACCTCCGCTTTTGGCAGGACTGCTGTGAGGGTAGGGAGGAGGCTGTGCCTGTGCTGTGAGGTGGCATTGTCACATGCCATCTCTTTTTATGTGAAGGGTCAGGAGCCTGGTTTTATGGTACACCATGAAATTCAATGCATCAAATCTGACCGAAGGACCATTGAGGCTGTTCAGGGCTTCTCTCTCTGGCAGCTGGTGCTTAGGGAGTGAGACTGAACAGAATGTGGGCATAGTGATCCCATAACTGAACTTCTGTGTTTGAGAGTCTGCAAAGCTCCTCCACTGAAGATCCTACCATAGTCTCTTTGTGTGATATTCTGGCTACAAACACATAAGAATCTATACACAATTAATATCCTTCATTCTGCCATATGAGATGCGTAAAGGCTGAATGGTGAAGGAGAGCAGCACTGCCCTCTTCATGTTTCATTTTAAGCCAAATGGCTCTATATTTCAACACAAGCTTTCCCTTCCTTGGTCAAGTATTGGCACAGCCTGCCCCGGGAGGTGATAAGTCACTGTCCCTGGAGGTGTTCAAGAACTGTGGGGATGTGGCACTGAGAGACATGGCTGGTGGGCATGGTGAAGTGGGTTGGAGTTGGACCTGGGGATTTTAGAGGTTTTTTCCAACTTTAATGACTCGATGCTTGTTTGTTTCCTTCCCTAGACTGCCAAACACGTGGGCAATTCAGGGCTCTTTCTCAGCGGTTCCGAAGCAAGAGATCTCCTGGATTCAGCTACCCTGAAGAAAACCCTGCCAAGCACAAGCCTGCCTCCCCCAGGTGGATATTAACACTTTTAACCTCTGTTCAGAAGTGTAAGATAAGTTGTTAATTACTCTGTCCATTCATGCCTTCAACACTGGCATTTTGCACAGGAGTGTTTCAGTAAGTAAATGCAGAGTTTGATCAAAGTTATCCAACACTTTAGCAGAGAACAGGACTCTGCTTTTTAAATATTTGGGCAGATCAGGGTACCACTGAGTGGCTGTTTAACTGACATCTCTTGGAAGACAAAACAGTAGTTGGGCTCTTCAGCGCCCGTCTTGTTATTTGGTGGCTGATGCTGGAGAAGGCAGAATCATTCTCTAATCCAGGAAGTCATCATTTCTGTAATTCCTTTCCCTTTTCATCCCTCACCCCAGCAATGAGGCGCCTTCTCCAAGCTCTTCTTCCAGAGAGAATCTTGAATCCCTTGTGGCTGAACTGGAGAAGGCAGTCACTTCCCTACGGAAACAGGTAAAACTGTGTGCCCCAATATTCATAGTCAGCCTGAGAGCAGGATTTAGCTGTTTGCTGAGTAGTTTCTGTGCCCTCCAGATCCAGGGTCAACCACTGGATGGGAGTAGCCTAGGATCACAGGAAACTAGTAGCAGATAAAGAGTTGGGAGAAGAGAGAATTCTGAGTTCTTTGAGCTCAGACCTCGACAACTGCAGGGAAAGCACAAGTGTGAGACTGCAAGTGACTTGAGCTAGCACTTTTTTCTCACATCTGGGACAAGTTAAAGAGCATTGGCCCTGGAAGATGTGGTTTAGTGGTAGGACTTGGTAGGTCAGGTTGATGGTTGGACTTGATCTTGTAAGTCTTTTCCAACTCGAATGATTTTATGATTCTATCCAATAGTGCAGGCTCTACTAAGATCTGCTTTTCATCCCCACCAGGTGCATGTACTAGGGAGCCAGCTGAGGTGGCACCACAGGAACACCAGCATGTATGAACAGGGGAAGAAGACTGGGGACAAATGGAGAAAAAGTTGACCGTGTTGCCTCCTCATATATGAGGTCAGTGTGTTTGTTCTGGGCCAGGGTCCTGCAGGTGGCTCAGGCTTTGTGGAGGGACAGCTGTGCAGCTTTCATATACAGAAAAGACTTGCAGTAAGGAATGGAGCAATCCAGTGATGAATGGGATGAGGTAATAGGCTTAAATGCAGCAGGTTAGACACCATTTCTAACAGTAATGATTAGTGACTCACTGGAATGAGTTGTCTGGAAACCTTGTGGCATATCCATATCTGGAGGTCTTTTAAGAACTGGTTTGGCAAAGATGGGGAAAGACATAAGTATAGGACTTCTGTGGACTGGGTGAGGTGTCTGAGGTTTATTCTCCAGGGATGTGGGTAGGTTTCTTCTAGCAGCACTTAATGCCACAACCCCAAACCCAGCAGCCTCCAGAGGACCTTTGTGGGGAGAGAGAGTACAAAGTGCAGTGATGGAGCAGATGGACTGGTTTCTCCTCAAGGTAACGAGGACATCTCGGCACATGGAGCAATCCATTATTTGCTTACATATTGACAGAGATTTCCCCCTTGACTGAATCACTGTGCACCTTTGTGCTGAAAGCATCAATCCTATATTTGCTCGGCTCCAGCCAAGGTAGCAAGGCTGTTGTATTTCTAAAGTCAGTCTAAGCACTGCCAGTAGTGGCAGAAGCCTGCAAGACCTCTGGTTCCCTGTGTTCAGGGTCACAGTGAGCACAGGCTGAGCTCCCTTCCTGCCACTTCCATGGACATCCCTGCAGCCTTGAACATCTCACTGGAACCTGCCAGTCTGGAGCAGGTGGTTGATAGTTTTTACGTGTTACAAATTACTACTTCATGGATGAGAGGAGTTATGCAGAAGCATTGTCCTGCCAGGCAGTCTGTGCTAGAAGCAGCATCCACTGGAAGTTAGATTAATGGGAAGGGCACACCAAGGCTGATCTGTGCTGATAATCTCTGTGGAAAGCAGAAAGAGAAGCCTGTAGACTGACCATGCCGTTTTCCAGCCTGATTTGGTATGTGGATTTGTACTTGAATACTGATCCCATTAAGAAATTTGACAGCCATAGGCTGCAGTGTTACCCACAAGAATTGGCTTTTCTTTGACATCATTTGCAGATCCTTGAAGAGCACTGTAGGGGGTTTACAGGGTCTCTGAGATACATTTGTGTGGTTTTAAAGGATTACTGCTGTTCTTGTGCTGCAATCACATGTGCCTCAGGCACAATACGAATGGTGATCTCTGCCTCTCACAAAGTTTTTCTCTTCTCTGTGCTGTTCCAGGTATCTGGTGATCTGTGCTCTTGCTCTCTGTCAGCCAGTCCAACCCATCCTTCAAGGGATCCAAGCAACCCATGAGCCCCCACGATGCTCTGCCACCTCCTGTGCCACCTCTTGTCCCAGAACAGCTGTCCTTCTGCCTGTATTGAGCCCTGCACTGCAGCCCCTCAGCCCCTGCACCGTTCCAGCCCTTGTCAGCCTCTGGGGATGGGCTCTGCCACCACACTGTCCTGCTAGATGGTGCCAAGATGCCACTTTCTTCCACAGTCCTCAAGAAATAGAGGATAATTGAAGCTGCCTTAGATTCACCATTGTGCCCTTCTCTTCCCATCCATCCTTGACATCATCTTCAACCCTGGTCTGAAATGTCAACTGAAAGAATTCATTATGAGACAAAGCCTCTCTCAGATGCACTATGTTCAAGCCAGGAAACATCTGGAAAAATCTGTATGTGGTTTGAAAAAAGGAAAATTGAACAAGCATGAGATATTCTAATGCTAACAGAAAGACCAAAAGGAACCTGAGGGCCCTGGAAAGCACTGTGTGGGCTGGGCTGGGTCCATGCCAGCAGCAGCGAGCTGGATTCAGAGCCTGGGGAAGTCTTGCAGCTGCTTGGGTGCTTCAAGTCAGGCTGTGGCAGACCACCATGCTGAGGCCTGCTGCTGTGCTTTGCCACCTAATTGATAATGGGTGGCACGTCCTCAGTGCTGTGACCCTATGAGTGACCTCCTGTTGCTTGCCTGGTGCTCAAAAACATTTTCCTTGACACGAACTGCATTCTCCAGGGTTCTGCCCTTCTGAGGTTTAATTGGATTTATGTTTCTCTTTCTTTTTTTTTAAAAAAAAAAAAAACTCCCAATGGCTCTTCACTGGAAGATGTGTTTTGAGTGTAAATGTAACAGGACCTGGAACAGAACCTCTGATAATTAGATGTAATGGGCGCTCTCATTAATGAGGGGGAGCTGCTGGTTTCTGTCAATTAGTACTGGAGAACACGATGTGCAGTATTTGACACACTGATGAATGCGAAGTGCTGCTTGTGTTTATTGCTCCTAGGTGCTCTGCAACGAAACCAGGACTGTGCTACCAGCTCTCCTGAGCCGGTCTTCTGGTTTCCTTGCTCTTTGGAGGTGCTTTTTAGTGGTGCTAGAACTGAGGTCCCTGTGCATCCACCACAGCCGCATATCTGTGGGCAGATTGGTTCTTAATCCATCTGTGTAAGCCAAGCACAGGGGCTGAGAGAAGATACTTGATCTGTTTGATAGCTGTGCCTTATCTTTCTCGCTTTTCCTGTGTCCTCCCACCTGCCTTCCCCAGTGCAAGGACCCACATCTTTTATGAACGCGCTTTCCCTCGTCTTCTCCTCCTTTTTTTTTAGGTGTGTGATAGTACCAAGGGGATTCAAAGCAACAGAGATGCTCCTGGAACTTAATAGGAAAATAAAAAAGATAGGAGAAAAAGGTGGTGATTTCTCAGCAATTTCCTGGCGTGGGACTCCAAGCCATGTGTGCATGTCCTGTGCAGACAGAGGCTGCAGTGATGAGTGTGTGTTACGCATGTCTGGTAAGCTCAGAGGCAGCATTTAGTCCTCGGGGATGTTTGTCACGTTGAAGTACTCTTTCATTTAGGTGCAAATCAAGGTCCAAAGCCTTGCATGTTCTCTATCAGCTGCACTCAGTCTCTTGCTTGTACCACCAGAGAATCTAATCTGGCAGAGGTCAATAAAGGTAAATCAGTCTCCAGTCTCCTTCTGCAAACCACAAGTTTACCAAGTCCCCATTCAAAGCAGCAAGACATAAATGGTTGGTGCTTGATCTAATCAGATAATCTCTCTAAATGCTTAAGTGAGCAAGGCATCTCCTTCCCCACAGAGCACAACATGCGGTGCAGCCTTGTCACAGGGACAGCTGCCACTTTGCTCCCCACGTGTTGCAAACCCTGAGCTCCATCCTCTGTTCCTCTCCCCAGGCTGAGGTGGGAAAAACGTGCAAAAATTAAACATCAGTGCGTGCCCCCACCAGCAAGGCTGTGTGCTGTGGGCAGGGGAAGATCTGGCAGAATTGCCCATATATCCAGGTGCTATTTTGCAAAGAATGTTTTGCTGAAGGCTTGCTTTTTTCTCCATCCCCTCTGTGCAGCCAGATGAGACCACTACAGTGAATTAATCTGTTTTATTTATTTATTTTAGAGAACCTCTTTGAAAGCCCATCTCCACGCCCAGAATGAACTCCCCCCCCCCCAGCCATGACAGCAGGGGAGGATCAAAATAACAAGCTCAGGGCCGGGAGCTGAGTTCCTGGGGGAGCTGCCATCGCCGAGCACTGCCAGGCACAGAACTCCCACTAATTAGATGGAACAGTTAAGTGACAAAACCCACACAGGGGTTGCTGAGGGGGCTGGTGGTGGGATTTGTAGCAGAGTGGATTTTCAGACAACTGAAGGAATGCATCCCACGTGCACTGTGTGTGTCTCCATCCTTTGCTGGGGATGAGGGCTCAATGTGGGGAGCATGGAGGCACCTGGGGCTGATCCAGGGGGACCCATCCTGAGGCATCAGGAAGTGAATTCCTTAGAGATACTCTGAGAAAGAGAAATGAATGGGAAGAGGCAAATTCTTCAGCAGGGTGATAACAGGAGGCCATGGCACCCAATGGAACAGGGTTCTGGCATTACAAACCCTGCAATATCTATCCAGCAAATGCCCGAACTTCAAACTTCCTCCAGATTAATTTAATCAGAGAATCGTAGGGGTTGGAAGGGACCTCCAGAGATCATTGAGTCCAACCCCCCTGCCAAAGCAGGTTCCCCACACCAGGTTGCACAAGTAGGTGTTCAGGTGGGTCTTGAATATCTCCATAGAAGGAAACTCCACAACCTCCCCAGGCAGCCTGTTCCAGTGCTACTTTCCTCTCTCTCAAAAAAAAAGGAGAAATAAAGCCCTCCAACACACGGGGGACCGAGACCATTAACGAGAGCCCACCTCTCATCACAAGAGCTGCTTAAAGAGCAGCGAGCCGTGTTTACCAGCACTCTGGAAACGAGCGTGAGAGCGCACGTTAAAATCCTAATTAAAGGCGAAGCCTTTCTCCTCCTGCGAGCGCTGCCCGGCGTGGCGGCTCCAGCTGTGCCAGATGTGCCCGCAGGTCTCCCACACAGAGACGCGTCCCGCCCGCACACTCACCCCACCAGCCCAACGGGTTTCACTTTCAGAAATAGGAAGTTGGTGGCAGTGAGCGCCCAGACGCGTGCGGGTCGGGACGGAGGTGGAGAGCTGCCGGGCGCTGCGGTGCGGGGCCGACGGCATGAGCTCCCCGCCCGCCCCTCGTTGTGCCTTTGGGAAGCGCCGGAGAATAGGAGAGTGGTGACATCCAGGCGCTGCATCCTCCAGGGATGGAGCAGTTTGTCCGCAAGCGTTTGACCTTCTTGACATCTTTCTGGAACAAGCTGTGGCCCCGCTCCGGCCCGGATAGCTGCTCGCTGGGGTACTTTGGTTCTGATTCTGTTTCACTGCACTCGGAGCCCAGCTGCGTTTCCTTCATCCCAAAGTCCTCTCTCTTTATCGCTTTATACGCTTTCACAGCCCGCAGTGCAGATGAACTGAGTGTAAACGCAGGGGACAAACTGCGTGTCCTCAGAGAAGAAGGGGACTATGTCTTAGCCAGGAGGCTGCTGGGGGAACCAGCCACGGGATACGTCCCTGCTGCGTATGTGGCCAACCTCAGCCAGGGCACCTCTGCTCACCGACCGTAAGTATCCAACCTGTCTGTGTGTAGGGTGGGGGGTGGCCCTAGAACAGCACAACCCTGCCCAGGAGTGGCAACGGGAGCCTTCCTTCATAGGGCTGTGCTGCGGTTTTGTCTTCCCCTGGGCATCCCTGTGAGGGAGCTGACAGCAGTGGGATGGAGGGGTTCAGGATGGTGAGCAAAGCCTGGGGACAGGCTGGGAACAATGATGCTGGTGCCCCTCCTGTATGTATTATTCCAGCACAGGACTAGGTGTGCTCAGCTGGGACACAGTGCAGTAATGTACCAAAACAGGTCCCTGCTTGCTCTGGTTCCTTTTCCCTTTAAGTGGAGAGGAATGGAGCTGGGGAAACCACCAGGTCCAGCTTGTGTCAGCTCCAAAGAGCCTGTGAGAATAGAGAGAAGTGTTTGAGTTGAGAGCTGTCAGGATTCATTAGGACCAAGCCATGCCTACACTGTTCTGGTGCATCCAGGATGGGGTTCCCCTCCCTGCTGTTGCCTCTCCCATCTGTGTGGAGCTGGGTTACCATTCTCATCCAGGAAAAGCCTGGACTCATCCTTACATAAGGTAGCCCAGTCGTGACATGCTGGGTAAAGCACCCTGAGACATCGGTGCTCCCCAGCACTGAGTCAGTGAGCCCTGAGGCCCTGAGTCAGTGAGCAGGATGTGGGTGGGTGTGGGATCCCTGTGCTCCCTCAGGGCTCCTGCAGCCCCTCCGTGCTGAGATAAAGGGGCACAGATTGCAACCAGAGCCCCCCCCTTTGCTCCCCACCCTGCCTACATTATGGGGCAAATTGGCTCGATTTGGGACCACACCTGCACATACCTGGTGGGTTTGGCTCCCTGCTGTGTTCCCATTGCATCCGCTGAAGTGGGATGGGTGTTTGTGTCTATGTATCTACATGTGTTCTGAGAGCAGAGGTGAGGGTGATGCCAAGAGGCAGCCGAAGCGAGTTGGGAGCACACAGACTGTGCGGAGCCACAGGTCTCAGCTGGGTGCTAATTTGCCTTGCTGCAGTAAGCCCATCATGGTTAATTTCCCACACAGCAGATGCTGGCAATCCCAGCTAATGATGAAACCTCCGGCTTTGTGCATCCCAGCTGGAAGGAAGCAGCTTCTTCCCCAGGCTCCTGTGCGTCACACAGGCGTCAGGCCCCAGCCACCAACCTGCTTTTTCTTGCTGGAGATTTCGTGCATGAAAGAAGGGTTTGGTTGGGTACTCCCTTGTGGCTCAGCATTGCTGATAGCAGTGCATCTGGTGCAGCAAAGGGCAGCTGCAGTGCACAGAGCTGTGGGAGGAAACCTCCCAAATTGGGGATCCATTTGGGGTCTCATACCCTCCTTCCCAGGTGGGGCAATGTGCATCCTTTCCCTGGAAATGGAATTGGGTGCACCTGAGCCACCTTTGGAGCTGTATCTACGAGAGGGGAAAAGAGAAAGAACTTCCTAATTCTGAGCATGGTGTGAAGATAAAACAGCCTGTAGCCTTGCTCTGGTGCACGCAGAGGATGAACTGGAAATACCCATTATTTGGGTCTTGGGGCACGTGGTTATGAGCAGATTATTTGGAGAGGGATGAAAGGCACCTTCTGCCGAGCATTCCAACGAAACACAAGGAAAGCATCTGCAGTTAGAAAGCTGTGATAAAATGCATCGAGTGCCTGTGAGAGCAGTGAAACAAAGCAGCCCCGGTGCAGTCGCTATGATGCTCATCCTTGCCCCATGCACAGCATGTACAGCACCACTGCACTCTGCCCCATCCTAATCACTGCCCCATCCCTACTGGGAATCTGCCCCAGCTCTGACTGCCCTCTGCTCTCCCCCAGGTGGTATTTCAGCAAGATCAGCCGCAGTGAGGCCGAGCAGCTGCTCCTCTCGCCTCCTAACCAGCATGGCTCCTTCCTTGTCCGGGACAGTGAGAGCAGCAGGGGCGAGTACTCTCTCTCAGGTAATTTTGGGGTAATTATCCTGAGAAAATGAGCACAGAGAAAGGAGTCAGGCTGGTCCCCAGGAGCAGCTCAATCAACATGTGGAGAGAAAAGTAGAAATATGCTTTGAGTGCTCTACAGCACCTTGTTAAAAGGAGCTAACTGCTTCCTAAAAGCTAACAGGTGTAGGTACGGATCACTGCGTTACCGTGGCAAAGGAAAGTGCATCGTTTCCATCTGAACTATGAGAGCTGTGAGCACATTACAGCAGTTTAATGACGGTTTTGCAGCACTAACTCCTGGGATTTCATGCTGGTGGCTTTTGTAGTCTGACGTTTGTCTGTAAGGTGTCAGGGCCTGGTGTGCTCCTGTGCACAGCAAGCTGAGCGTGGGGAGTTTCAGGCCAGGCAGCGTCATTGCAGCGTGGTCTGATCCAAGTCAAACATCTCCAGCTCCTGGCAAGCCATAGCTCTGTGCTGCAGCATGCTTTCTGCAGGTACAGCTGCTCCTGATTCACCGACCCCACGCGGCGATGAACTCAGACGCTCTCTGAGCAGCTCGTTTGCATGGGAATGGTTTCCTCTCATAAAGCATCGCCTCTCTGCTCCAGCACCGCCCGTAGCTGGCAGTCTGCTGAGCCAGGCAATGCCAGAAGGAGGCGTGAACCCCGGGGCTCCTTTAGGCGGAATTAAATATCCCAGGAGAGGCAATGGAGGGGGCACTGGGGATATGGGAAGGAGCTGAGATTTTCCCCCTGGGCTTCCCCTGCAGTGCGCAACCACACCAAAGTCAGCCATTTCCGCATCTGCAAGAGCCCCGCAGGCAGCCTGTACATACAGAGGGGTCACCCCTTCCCCGACATGGAGGAGCTGCTTGCCTTCTACACCGAGAACTGGAAGGTCATCCAGAGCCCCTTGCTGCAGCCCTGCAGCCCCACGGTACGTACGAAGCTGCCCCCCAGATGCTTTCACTTTGGGCTTGGTTGGGTGGGTTGGAGCCTAAAAGATGTGGAAGAAAGGAAAAAAGCTAAATAGGGAAGATCAGAAATAACACATATCCACTTGGGATTTGAGCTTTGTTGAACGAAAAGCTACAACATAATGTTAGTATAACTTCCAGATCACATTCATTGGCCGTATTAAGGCTGGGCTTGTTGTTTGTGTGCATGGAGAGCTGCCTTGCCCAGCTTGTGGCCTGGCCAAAAGGCACAGCCTTTTCTGAAATGTTTGCTCTGGGACAAAGACTCAAAACCACGTTGTTACAAATTCCTTCAATACTGAGTCTGGAAATAGCTGCTCTTCCAGATTTTTCCTAGAGAATAATAAGACCACTTGTTTTTTCTATGGTTCTCATGCCAATTAGGGTGGCACTCATAAATCCAGCTACGGCACAGATCCCAAATTACTAGCTCACTGCCTGATTAGAATTGCATTTGCTAGTTATGGCTTAGAAATAACAATTAAATATGTGAATAATTGGAGAGTGAAATGGGCTAAGAGATAAATGCTTAACGAGTTGAAGCCTAAACCAGCCATAATATGTAATGATATTAATTTATTCATTTTTTATTTATTGGTGGAAATAGAGAAAAGCCATTTTTGTGGGCTAAGGAGGAGTTACTTATGCATTATCATAGAACCACAGAACGGTTGGGTTGGAAGGGACCTTACAGCTCCCCAACCCCTATGCCAAGGACTGGCTGCCCCCCACCAGCTCTGGTTGCCCAGGGTCCCATCCATGGCCTTGGGCACCTCCAGGGATGCATGACACCGGATGCACGGCTGATGCACCCTGCCCTGCTCGGGACCAGCAGCTGGCACAGGCTGTCCCAGTGGGTCTGAGCATGCCATGCCCCTTCTGCAGACCCCCCCGGAGAGGGACGGCTGGGAGCGCCCGCGCTGGGAGTTCACCCTGCGGAGGAAGCTGGGCGAGGGCTACTTTGGAGAAGTGTGGGAAGGACTGTGGAGGAACACAGTGCCCGTGGCCATCAAGATCATCAAAGGTGTGTGGAAGGGCAGATGCTAATGGTGACCTACTGAGTGTCTTGTTTGCTGCCACAGTGTTCATGCCCTTTTGTTTCCTGGTCTTCTTGGTCACCGTGTCTGTCTCAGTGGTAGGACCCAGCATGTAGCTATGTATGGATCTGTACAAGCTTGTGTCTTTATGGCTCAACTCAGTGGGTTTGTGATAAGTCAAGTCTCAATGGAACAATGACAATGAATATGGGATCCAAAGCCCAGTGGAAAACATCTTATGGGTATTTGGACCTGAGATGCAGGGTGTGCAGATACGGGGCTTGAGAGATGAGGGAGGATAAAGGTCCTTATATCAGATGGGAGGTGCAGAGCTCTGAAGGTCTGAGTGAGAAAGGGCTCACAGCAGCTTTCTCCCTCAGCTGACATGAAGGCAGAAGACTTCACCAAGGAGATTCAAAACCTGAAGCGCTTGAGGCATGAGAAGCTGATCCAACTGCACGCTGTCTGCTCACTGGATGAGCCTGTGTACATCATCACTGAGCTCATGCGGAAAGGCAACCTGCACAGCTACCTCAACAGTAAGTCAGTTTATTTTTCTTGGCTTTTATTTCCTTTCCAAACCTGGTAATCAGACTTTGAGGGAAACAAGACCGACAGCTCCCACCAAGACCTGTTTTTCTGCCAGGTGCATCCCTCCTCCTCCAGACCTCTGGGCTGGGGCTCTGGCAGCAGTTGGTGCCGGAGGAGAAGGAGCTTGCAGGTAGGATGGATGGGGAGCAGACTTGCATGGCAGCAGGTCACCTTCAGCTTTGACCAAGCTGCAGACATCTGCATGCTCTTGCAGCACAAGGTGCTCCTCAGGCTCACCGCAGTCCCATTCCTGATGAGCACATGGCCATAATGAATGTACCACACAGCACAGCCCTGACCTCAGATTTGAGTTTTTCATGTTTCCCACAACATCTTCTCCCACGCTTCCGGCACAGGGTCTCCTTTCAACCCTGAACACCCTAAAATAAATGTTACTAGTTTGCCTCAAATGCCTGGATCATTTGGGTCGACAGGTCCTGAAGGGAAGTCCCTGAGCACCTCCCACCTGCTCAACATCGCCTGCCAGGTTGCAGATGGGATGAGGTACCTGGAGGAGAAGCACATCGTCCACCGGGACTTGGCGGCCAGAAACATCCTGGTGGGAGAGGAGCTCACCTGCAAAATTGCTGACTTTGGACTGGCCCGGCTCCTCAAGGTCAGTCAGTGGGTCACTGAGCTGCCCCACACTGCAGCCATCACCTGTTGACCCCTTCCCATGGCCTCCAAGGCAAAGCCCTAAAAGCAGCAGCTGCACTCATCTTGCAAGCCCTCAAACACCGTCTCCCTTTGTTTTTCAGGATGACATTTATTCCACCAGCAGCAGCACCAAAATCCCAGTGAAATGGACAGCCCCTGAGGCAGCCAACTACCGCACCTACTCCCTCAAATCCGATGTCTGGTCCTATGGCATTCTGCTCTATGAAGTTTTCACATATGGGCAGATTCCATATGAAGGTAGGGCCGATGGTCCCTTCCAGTATCTCACCCATGCTCTTCAGAAGTCAATGTGTCAGGAATTGTCGTATTATCCCTTCTGCAATAGAAGTGGAAGCATCTCCTGGCACATGATATGGTTATTGTTCAGGGGAATTTTGGTGTTTGCGGAGGGATCTGGAAGGTGGTATGGGCTGAATGATCTCTCTCAAACCAAACCTGTGGCAGAAGCCGTTTCCAAGCAACACTGGTTGATCTCTTGGCCCATTACAGGTCTACCCTCAGCATGTCCTTTGGGAACATTAAAGTGAAGGGCATCTTCTATTCCCTTGCAGGAATGACAAACCAAGAAACCATACGACAAATCACCAGGGGCTACCGCCTTCCCCGGCCCAGCTCCTGCCCTCCTGAGATTTACAGCATCATGTTGGAGTGCTGGAGTGGCAACACGGAGGAGCGGCCCACCTTCCTGGCACTGCGGGAAAAGTTGGGCATCATCTACAGGCGGCTGCTCAACACCGTGTCCTGAGGGACCTTCCCACCCTTCCTGCAAAACTCCCTTTGGGCCAGCTCTTGCCAAACGTCTCCTTCCTTATGGTTGCCCTCCGATAGGACTTGAAGGAAAGCACATGTCCCATCCCCCTGCGCTCCCCTCCTCTCCCTCCCCCCAGAAAAAAAAAAAAACAACAACAAACAGCCCCTGGACCCTCTTGGTGAGGATGCAGGGAGGTGGCCAAGGGAAAAGGCAATGAAAGTGTGAATTCATTACTGGAGCTTGGCTGTGCAGCAGTCTTAGAAAGCCCCGTGGTTGTGAAGACATCACCCAGTTCACAGCTCCATTCAGCCAGTAGGGTGGGAGTTTCCTGCCATCCCCACACCAACATGAAGGTTTGCAGTTTGTTTTCAGTTGTGGCTCTGCTTGGTTTTCTTGTACTGTGTGTCTGGTGTCCTTGTCAATAAATGCGTGTGGCTCCATCCCTGCTGCCTTCTGCATGCTGCCCTGCCAAAAGGCAGTGGGTTGCAACCAGTCCCAATCTTGCAAACCCAGATGGAACCGTTTTGTGTGCAAACAGAAATGTGTCTCTGGTCTCTGTTTCTCCAGGTGGAAATAGGCAGCTCCTGTCCTGGCTGCTCCTCTCCAACTCATTGCTTTGGTCACCTTCCTGCCTTCTCACAGAGCCGTAGAATCATGAAGGTTGGAAAAGACCTTCAAGACCATCCAATCCAAAGCCAACCCACCCCACCATACCCAATAACCATGTCCCTCAGTGCCATATCTCCGTGTTTCTTGAACTCCTGCAGGTATGGGGATCCCACCACCTCCCTGGGCATGGTGGGGATGGGTTGACAGTTGGAATAGAGGCAGCGCTGCAGGTAAGAACAGCTTCACCCTGTTTTGCTGCAGCGTAGAGGCATTTAACTTATTGCTATGGTTTCCTAAGGCCCTCTGGCTCCTGCAAATACAAGGCCATGGTGTTACTGCTGCAGGGAGAACAACCATGGTGAGATGAGGGATGTTTCAGTGAGCAAAGGGAGTGGAGATGCTGGAAAATAGCCAGGTCAAGTTTGGGATTTAGGGTCACAGCTGTGGCTCTTCTGCTTAGGAGCAGCTCTGAGGATGCACAGATCTCCCCTTGGGGCAAAGCCAAGAGATGCTCCCATCAGCTCACAAAGTCCCTTGGTGTGCAGCATCATGGGAGCCTCCTGAACTTCCTCTTTATGGACCCAGGGACACCGTTTGTTCCTTTTGCCCATTGCATACACACTCCCTGGGGCTGGACTGTCCCTGGCAGCACTGAAAAGACCCAATGAAAAGCAGCAGTGGAAGCAGTGCCAAGGTGCAGGGACAGCGGGGGTGGAGTATATGAAATTAAAAAGTTTAAGCGCTGCTCTCCTTGTCTGAGAAGCAACCACGCTGTGCAAAATAGTGGAAAAGAATCCAGTGTTAATTGAGCAAGGCTCTGTGATCAGGGGCCTGCAAAAAGGGGAGGTGGGAATGCAGCTTAGGCGTTCAATACTCCAGGATTGGGGCACGTTTCCTCTGAACCCCCAGAAAATTTCTGAGACCTCGGGAGCTGTGATGCTCCTAAGTTGTGTCCGTGTCCAGGGAAAAGTGCAGCTCTGGACTTGACTGTTCCCATCTGGAAAAAGCAACCCATTGGGCTGACTGTGGTGTTTGGCACAAGAGGAAACTTTCATCCTGAAAGCATTTTGCAGTCTGATCGAGCACTTCATACAGCGCGGTCTAATGTGAAACCAGAGTCTGAAGCTGCATCCGATAGGTGATGGATTTATTGCATGCCAGGAAGGTCCTGGGATATGATGGCCTTGTTGCCACGAGGTGGTGCTAAAAGTGAAGCAGAAGGTGCTGGGAATGTTTAGGGTTGCAGGTTGGAGCCTGCGTGCGCTCATCCTGCATGCAGCTGTCCTGCAACAGCTCACCATGCAGCAGCAATGTCACAATGCAGAGAGGGGGTGCGGGGATATGAGAACATAGCCAAGCTGGCAGTGCTCACAGCAGCTTCTCCTTCCTCCTCTGCAGCTGCTGCATTGCTTGGGTTTGTCTCCAGCTTTGTCTGCTGGGTTCTGGCATTTCTCTGAGTCTATATTTGCTTTTGGAATGAATGCATAGCTGGAGCAGCACTTACATTTTCTTTTATCACAGCATCTCAGCCTCATCTCCCACCAGAGCTGGAGATGCAATGGGGAACCAGGCTGTGCCCTACCTGCAGGGGCCCTGTTCCTTTCCAAATTGCCATAGGGTAGGCACTGCAGACACGTATTAGAGACATCCACTGCTCTGTCTCAGCCTGGCACGTGTTCTCTTCATGGATCCAAGTTGTCCAAGTGGCATTTGGAAACAGTGCCAGACTAAGGCAATGCATGTGTCGTTTGTTCCTATTTTTAACATCCCACTTTAGCCTTTGTGAAGGGTCAGGGAGAAGCAAAGTTTCTGCAAGGAAAAAAAAATAAAAAAAATCCCAAAGTGGCAAAATGTAGGAAATGAAAGCAAATATTTCTCATACTGGGCTGTTGTAGGAGCTCCTCTGCCAGCAAAGGGATGGCACAAAGGCAGTAGTGAGGGCCAAGGGCAAGGTGAAAGCACAAGTTATTTTTGCCCAAATATGTGAGTTAATCAACAGCCAAAAGGCTGAGTCTTGGAAAGCAGCATGGGGCAGCAGGTGAGGAAGGGGACGCTGGTCCCTGGTGGGATGCTGGCATTTGATAGCAGACCAATTTGCTCCTCCAACAGAAAGCCCTGTGGAAATAGGGGGGAAGGTCTTTAGGTAGGGCTATGGGGTACCCTGCTTTTCTCTCCTGTGTCACCCAGTGAATCTCTCACTGTCCCAGTCTGGTGCACAATGCATCAGTAAAGGGAGGTATGGGCTGAGTTGCAATTCCCAGTTCACCAAGCTGCTGGCGCTGTGCTCTCTGGCATGACCCTGCCATGACACCTGGCCTCTCCTTGGGTCACTCTCACCTCCCTGGGTGCAAAACCAAAAACCTGAGTGCAGCCTTGAGGCAGCTCTAAAGTCTTCTGAAAGTTTTGGGTTTCCTCTTATCATTAGTGGTGGGAATGAAATGGACTAGAACAGCTGGAAGGGGCCTTCAAAGATCAAGTCCAACAGCTCAATCACTTCAGCGCTAAGCAAAAGTCAACGCAAATTATTGAGGGCATTATCCAAATGCCTGCTGAACACCGTCAGGCACAGCTCAGCCTGTGTGAGGTTGTTTTAGGGAGGGCTGGGGCTGTTGGCCAGGCTCCAGCTCACTCAGGCAAAGCTTTGCTGCAGGGTTATATGGGGACGTGCTCGTGGCCTGGCCGTGCAGCTGCCAAGTGAAGCAAGGAGCCCTGCCCTAAAGCACTGCTATTAAAACACAACAAATGTGAGCTAAAGCAGTGATATTCCTCTCTATGGAAAAAATCTACACGGAGATGAAGCTGCTCCTTGGAGCACAGCCCGGACCTGCAGCAGCATCCTATAGTGGGACAGCAGAGCCTCGAGCCAGGTGGTGCCAAGGCTGTTCTTAGAGCTGCTGGGGCTGTTGGGTCTGCAGGAGCACTGCCATGGGGCAGGTGGGGGGAGCTGGGTTCAGGCTGGCTGCTTGCCCTGTGCTTAATGAGTAACTAATTAATGACTAGAATCACAGGTGAAAGGGGGAGGAACCCCGCCGACTGGTTCGTTATGCTTCAGTATGGGTTGTACAAGGCTTTTTCTCCTAAATTAAAACACTCTTCTGCAAAATCGATGCAGGTGCAGTGGTTCAGAACCCCCTCGAATAGATATTTATGCATTTGTGCTACAGTTTTAAAGAGTGAAGAAGCAACGACAGCTTTTCCCTTGGGGGAAACGTATTTTTGTTTGGCCTTTTTTAAATGTCTTCGCACCAAACTTCACAAATCAGCCGAAATCTTCGGAACCCGCCGTGACCCACCCCGCCGGAACAGCGCGCACCGCCTGCAAGCCCCGCCCCCTTCGGGACGGAGTGGGCGTGTCCATGAACTCTCCGCAATCTGATTGGCTGTGCGATTAGGGGCGTGGCTACATGTGCTATATAAACGGGGTAGGGGGGGTTGGGCCTGGCAGCGCCGCGGCTCAGGCCGTGCGGAGCGGTAGCGGTTGTTGCGCTCCCTCCGGCGGGGGCTCCGAGCGGCCCCGCCGGGCCCCTTTACCCTCCCCTTCCTCCTCCGGACCCCGCTGGGCCCTAGTGCCGGCCAGGTGCGCTGCAGAGCCTTCAGGGATGGGTTGGGGGTGCTGGATGGCGGGTTAGCTCAGCTTTGAGCATCGTTACAGCGGTGTGTTGGGGGGGAAGTGGGGAGGGGGCTGCTTTGGGAGGGGCTGGATGGGTCTGATTCACCCTGAGGGCTTAGGGGATGGAGTTGAGCCCTCTGACCGTGGCTGCTGTAATCCCGTGTGGGTGACGCGTGGGGGTCAGCCCGGGTAGTGCCGTGCCTCAGTTTCCCCAGCACTGCAGCTCAATATGGGTGCGTTGCCCCGGTGGGTGCTGGGCTGCACCCACTGCACAGAGCCTCATCTTGCATCCCCACCAAGTTCCTTACGCAACTTCACACTGAGATTTCACAACTCTGAAGCGTTGACTCAAGGGAGGTAGCAGGATTGCTGCAGAGAAGCAAAACAACTGTGCTGGGCCCCGGGAAGTTGTTGCACTGAGGCTGTGCAAGCAGTTGTTTTCAAGGGAATTATTTTGGCTTTGCACAAAGCTCTGAGCCAGAGCTCTACAGCTGCAGATTGACACACTGGAGGACTCTGCTGGGTGTCGTACCTGGTGTGGTCAAATCTTTTACAAAATAAGCAGTCTGGTCCCCCTGCAATCATGGCTGTTCCTTTACTTGCAGGTTTTCCATCAGCACAAACCCAGGACCCAGAGCCATGGCCTCCATCCCATCGAGCGGCTCGCTTATGGCCACACACAACTATCACCGAAGTAAGAGCAGAGCACGTGGGGTGTGGAGAGTTGCTGGGAGCCCACAGGAGCTCCTTGGCAAGGAAGAAGGGTGTCTAGCAGCTCCGACCAGCTGGGGAGCAGTTGTGCCAGCTCCTCTGCCTGTTATAAGGTTATGAGTTGTAGGCATTATGCACTGCTGTGGAAATGAGCTGCAAAGCCACTCTGGGCCATGGCAGCCACTGGTGCCTCTCTGGGGGGTGGCTTTATGCTCCAAGGGAACTGAAATATTTCTTTTGAGCTCAAACTAGGAACAGGCTTACAGCAGTTGGGTTAAAGCTGTGCAGATTAAGTGCAGGAATCAGCATCCTCTTGACCTTGAGACATCTGTAAAAGCTTCTGAAGTGCTCCTTGCAAGGCCAAGCCATTAAATAATGTCGTTGGGGGTGGAACTGTTTTCCTGCAGAAAATGGCAAGTTGGCCAACACAAAACACCTTTATGTTGTTGGCCAACTTGCCATCTCTCCGTGTTTCCTTCCTGATGGCTCCAATTTCTCTGCAGGGCGTCTGAGCTCCACATCCAGCAACAGCTCTTGCAGTAGCTCTGAGTATGCTGGGGAGGTCATCCCCCACCACCCGGGTGAGTGCATGGGAATACATTGCCTACGTGTCTCAGCGAGAACATTCTGCCTTTAGAAATCTATATGGAAGCACTGAGGACAGCATGTAGCTGTGCACTTACCAGAGCTGTCCCAGCCTCTCCTCTGGGATGGCATTGGGGCTGCCCAGTATGCACTGACCTCTGCTGTCCTCCAGGTCTGCCCAAATCTGACCCTGGACAGTGGTGGGCCAGCTTCTTCTTCGGGAAGACAAATCACCCTGCCATGACAACTGTGTCAGAGTCCCCAGAGAGGTGAGTACTTTGCCCTGGATAAAGATATGGGGGCAGAACCGCTGTGCAGCACCCAGGGATGCCCATGCCACATCCTCAGGGTACCTCCTAACCTGGGTGTTTGGGAACCACGTCCCCATGGCGCATCCTGACCCATAGGTGACATCTTGTGGGTCTTCACCACCTGCTGTTAGACTGTGGGGGAAAAAAAGGCAGGTTGAGCACAAAGCATCATGCTGCTTTCCTGACTCAACATTTTCTTCTCTTGCAGCTTGGGAGCACTGCCAGTGTCCGTGGGGCCCCTGGCATGTGGGCTGGTGCCGGCAGCAGGAGCAGGACGCAGGCGGCATGCCAGCGAGCCGGGCATCGGGCCCTCATCCTGAGCTGCATGGCCCTTCCCTTCCCCACAGAGCTGCTTGCAGATGTATGTGCTGCTTTGGGGTAAGACAAGGCAGCAATCCCCCAGCAATTCGTACACCAGCCTTTTACTATTTCTTGATGCAACTATGCTTTTTCTGTGCAGATTCGGTAACGCACGTTTATTGACTTTGTACTTGTACAATGGCTACTAATAAACTCAAGCAGCCTTTTAGAATGCTGTGGGTTGTTCTTCACTGTGGTGAGGGGTCTGCCAGTCTGGGGTCAAGCAATGGGTGTGGATGGGGTCGATCCTGGAGGCCATGCAGTCTCTGTCCAGTGTTTCCAGCATGGCTATAATGCTGGGAGGGACTTCTGCAGGAGGTGAGTAGCTCTGAGCCAGACAGCGTGGTCATGCCAGCATGACTCAGTGGTGCAGGGGTGTTTTGCATGTGAGCAGGATCTGGCTTTACCACTGCAATTCTGCAGGTGCCTGCTGCACCCTGTTCTCCCTGCGTGGCTGCACAGCACATCCCTGCTGGTGCTGCACACATTTGCTGCAGTTACGTGCAGGGTGTGCTGCTGTGCAGGGCTGCTGTGCTTGGGGTAGGAGTGTGGGAGGAGGGAGAGTGGGGGGGGTTAATGAAGATGGGCAGTGTTGTTGTGTAGCTGGCTGTTTGTGCTGAGCTCTGGCTGGTTTTGCCATCAATTAGTCTGTGACCCTTCTGCTGACCAGCTGATTACTGGGGCGTGCTGCTCACTGGAGCACTACAAAAACAGGAGCCTGCAGGCCCCTGTGTGCAGGACAGGAGCCCAACAAACTTCAGGGCAGGAGCAAACTTAAAGAAGTGGAGTCCTGCTCCAGTTTGCTTTTAGCAAAAGGTCTGTGGGAAACCACGTGTGTACTGGGTGAAAAAAGGGGGAAAAAAGTCCTTTTTGTTTAAAAGCAAGTAGAGGTGGGAATAGGGCGAGCACGGCTCTGGGTGCAATCCCAGCATTGCTGCTTGTCCCCTGAGCAGGGTGAGGCTGGGAGCAGTGGGTCTGTGTGCTGCAGGCACAGGCAAAATCAATATTGCTGTTTGCTTGTCCACCCCATGACCACTGAGGGTCAGATCTAGTTCCTGGGGGAGGAAAACCTACCCAGAGTTTTGGGGACCAAGAGCAGAGATGTGTGTTGTGCAGCTCAGGACTAAGTCCCTCCCACTTTGCCTCAGTTCCCCCACTGATGGTGCTGGCTTGGTGCTTTCCAGGAAATAAGTTTGCTGAAGGCTGTGATGGACTTTGACTGTGCAAATCCCAACTGTTTGAACAGCCCTGTGGTGGTTTTGTGCCCAGCACCAGGATTTGTTTTTCTGCCTCATGCTCTGTTAGGGGGGCTGACCTGGGGGTCCCTGGAACCTCCAGGCTGGCCCTGCTGTGTGCAAATGTTCCTGATCCCATTGGCTGCAAAGCAAAGGGAGCTCTGGGAAATGGGCTCTGGAGGTTAACATGGCTTAAAAAGAGAGGATGGAAAGGCTGAAACTGGGTGCTCCAGGGCTGAGAAGTCACTTCTGTTTTAGTGAAGTTGATGGCATTTCTGATCCTCCTCAAATGCTTCCTGACAGATGCATTCCTGTATCCTATGCCCCTCTAATGTATAGAGTAATAAAAATGTATTTGATACACAGAGTACAATCTATAATGGGCTACATTCTTTCTGGTGGGAACAGAATGGCTTTGTATTCCACCGTGCCCGAGTGGGATAATAGCTTTAATTAATGATAGAGCAGAGATGCACAAACACTTCCTCTTCCCTTTGTGCAACAGCACTGCTTACACCCGTGTCTCAGCCTGCTTTATAAAGCACAGTGGCAGCAGGGTCACAATGGAGCAATGTAGGAGAAGTTGGTCTCTGTGTGGATGGGTTTTGGCCTCCAGCAAAACGTATCTGAGAAATGGTTGCAGGACCTGCAGCTGGGCTTGGGGAGCCTCATGTTGGGTGAGGAGGGATGGGATGGGTGTGGAGTGGGTTCACAGGAGGGCAATGGGACCACAGTGGGCTCTGCAGGCGGTGATGGGGGAGCTCTGGGATGATGCTGGGCAGGCGGACAGATGGGCAGAGCAGCAGTGGGGAATTGAGGGGGGTGGGGTGAGAATCGGGCTGATTTCCCAGCACAAAGCCTGTGCTATGTGTATGGAAGAGAGTAAGCCAAATTTCGTTTGTATCGATCAAGAATCAATCACTTTAAAAGCGAACGGACAACAGAATTTGGATAGATTGCCTTTTCTTTTTTCCTTCAATTTTCCCTCTAATTACAGTCTCCAAGTAACCAAGTCTCTCCATGCGTTTTGCTTTGGAGCAAATTCTCTGCTTGTCTTTCTCCTTATTTATTCACCTGGCTTTCAGGGCTCTGTGTTCCAGCGGAGCCTCTATGGGGACCAGACACCAGGTGGGGAACCTCTCCTCCACCTCCTCCCGTTTTTCCCATCTTCAGCATCGTGTTGCTCCGTGCCGGCGTGGGCAGCTGCTGCCACCTACCGGAACGGATCCATCCTCTGCCCACGAGGGTTTGGGTCGCAGTGATAACGTGGGGATGTGCTGGGAATGGCCGGGCTACTCCCTGCTTTTGTTCTGCCTGTTGCGTTCTCAGTCGTCGGTATGGAGGATAACGCATGAAGGAAATTACCCCAAGCTGGTGTATGATCAGCAAACTGATCCCAAAGCTGGGAAAATGGGGTAATTTTTTGGCAGAAACCATCCCAGTGCTCAGCAGGATGCAGGCAACTGCTGGAACAGCATCTCCTTCATGGGATCGAGGGAAAATTTTGCTGTCATTCAGTGAATGTGAAACAAATCCTTTGCTAAATATAAGAGGGGCTTCGAGAGAGGCTGGGTCAGCACTGAATGTGCTCATTGCGGTCCTCGTTTCTCCCTCTGGATGCAGCCAGTGTTCCTGCTGTCAGCCAGGTACCACCAGCAGCCCTTTGTAGGAGGTGGGCAGGAGATGGGGGCTGGTTTTGCTCTGTGGTTCAATAAGAGCTGTCCTCAGGATGAATGCAGGCTTTTCCAAACTCGGAGTTGTGCCAAAATGCGTCAGCATCTCAGAGAGAAGGAAGGAGCTGTATTTTAGCAGCAATGCTGAGATGGTTGTGGGGAAGGTGAAGAGCAGTGAAGGAGTTAAAATCTTCAGAAGAAACTCAAGTTTAGGGGAGGAGCTGCTGCAGTGGACCTGGGGATGTGCACTGTAACCCATGGGTGCTGCTCAGCTCAGTGAGCAAAAATCAGGCATTTTATGATGGTTTTCCCTCCAAGGCTGAATTTTGGCTGAGAGCCCACAAGCTCTTTTGCCTTTGCAACTGGTGCAAAGGATGTGCAGCTGAAGGTGCTGTTGGTCAGGTAATCTAATTCAACTGGGGGTGTCCAGGATGCTTCCAGTCCCTCTTCCTCTGAATTTTGGACATGAATACCCACAAGCAGCCAGCTGTGGGATGGGATGCTGATTTCCCTGTTTCAACCCCATAACTTATCCGTTTTGTGCAGAAGAGGTTTCTTGAGGAGCATCACTCATACCCCAGATGGCCCTGAGGACACTTTAAAAGGCTTTTAAGCTGTGACCCTTCAGTATTGTTGCCTCAGATCTCTGCAGTACCCAGGAGTTGGTGGTTATGATGACCTGAAGGAAGCTCCGGATTGCTCATCCCAGTACTGTTGAGTGCCTGTGTGAGCCCAGCACTGCTGTCCCATCAGGGTGACACCAGACACCAGCCCCAGCTGGCTGGTGGTGAGAGGGCTTGGGCATCTTGCTTTTTCTGCCAGAAGTTATTTTTATACCACTGGTTCCAATTTAAAGTTATCAGCATCATGTGCTGACTGCAGGACCTCAGATCCCCTCCTCCTTCTTCCCCTGTCTTTCTGTCCCACACTGCTGTCTTCATTGCTCCTCTCTGGATCTGCAGCATGAGCAGAACCACCAGGAGATGTGGGAGGGAATCCCATCCATCACAGCTGGGGTTTGACTAAAGTGAGGATTTGACTCTATGTGTATATTGCTGTGATGCAAGGAACTCTGACCATAGGAGGAGGGAACCCTAACAGCATCCTCCCCTGCCATGAAGTGTCCATTGGATCTCAGCTGCTTCCCCTATGCTCTCAGCTGCCCCTCCAATGCTCATGATTTCTTCTTTTCAAGGCAAGTATTGCTCTGCATGGGGTGAAGAAGGAAAACAGTGACCCCTCTGCTGATCCTGTGGCCAGCCCTTGTGAGAGGAGGGCGTCTGGAGTGACGTGGGGGTGAGCATCCCTGGTGGCTGCTGTCGACACCACCCAGACCCCCTCCTTCAGAGAGGACCTGATGCATTACACAGGGAGAACTGTGGGAGCTCAGTGAGCTGAACGTGTTACGCAGGGGAAGGAACCCTCCTCAGTACCAAGGCAAATCCAGGCAGGCAGCCTGGGGTGTCAGCATCCCAGATACATACAAATTACCAGCACTGCAGATTATTCACTCTCACACTATGCAGGGCCTCTTGGGAAAAAAATCTCACTTATTACATCTGGGCAAATGGGGATTTTTATACAGTTTAAGGCATCAGATTCTAACGTGGGGACTGAGGGGCTGGAAGGAATGGAGGTGATAACAAAAGGGGTACAGGATCCTGCCAGTTGCATCACAGCACCTTTGAATGGCCTCTGGGGGAGGTCTCCATTTCCTTGAGTGATCCCAAATTGTTTGTGGATGCCTTTTCTGGGGAAAGCCTAAATAGGATGGGATATAGGGGAGCTGTTTCAGCTGAACCCAAATCTGAAGCTGGAAAGATGAAAACAAAGCTCTGAACTCCCAGTCACTGCACGTTTTGTCTGCTCGGGTCTCTTCTCCTTCCCAGAGCTGAGAATTGAAGGTGGATGAGAACTAATTTCCAGGTGTTTGGTCCAACATTGTAGCGCAGCACTTCTGCTCAGGATGCAGGCACTGGGGAAGCCCTGCTCTGCAGCACATGGCTGTGGCTTTAAGTCCCTGGGAGGCCGGGTGTCAGGTGGCTGCCCCTCATCCCGATTAGCCAGGTCTGGCAGCTCTCTCCTATTCCTGTCCTGCACTATTTATAGTGTGATGGGCTGTCGGGCTCTGCTGCAGCTACAGGCAGCCCCGTTTCTGTGCCTCCTGCCTGTCCTTGCATTAAAAGGGAAGATTATTTTTTGGCAAAGCACTGATAAATGGGCAGAAAGAACAAGGGACTTGTACACTCATCTCTTCTACGCAT